AATAGCTCAAGTGGTAGAGCACATGCTTAGCATGCATGAGGTCGTGGGTTCAATCCCCAGTACCTCCTCCAAGAATAAATAAATGTAATGATGGAGTCCAAGCATCTAAACTATAACATTATCTTGAAATTTTAAAATTTCCCTCCAAATTAATTTTTTTTATTAGTAGGTCTACTTCAGAATGGAGTTGATATTAGGGAAAAGGCATTCAGTAGAGCCATTTTGCTTTTGTTTACAAAAATAAATACGCATTGTGAGAAGTTAACTGTTAAATAGTTCTGTTATGTAAATAATTTTGAACTGTTCATAAGGAAAATGTTAGGTTTGATTGAATTGTCGCTGTGATTGAGTATGCTGGAAGGTCTTTGCTGAAGTCTAACAACAGTCTACTAGTTTTATGTGAATATTTATATTTTTACATCTGAGACAATTTCCAATTTTCTCACCCTCAGGGCAGACAGAAATTAGCTCGGTTTAACGCCCATGAGTTTGCCACACTGGTTATCGACATTCTCAGTGACGCCAAGAGGAGACAGCAGGGCAGCCCTCTCTCTGGTTCAAAAGGTAACAGTTCCAGACCTCTAAAGGTTTGCTACTTTGGCCTTCTAAACTTCACACAAGTGGTAAAGTTATAAAGAACATAATAGAAATTAAAGCCACCATTGACACAACTTAGTTAAAGCCTTGTAAGTTTTATTAGTGCTATGTTGTGATGAAAAGTTTCTCTCTCTGAGCCCTGGTGAACTATAAATATTTCAACGTTATTAACTGCTATTCAAATCTATCTTATATATATACAAAATTGCATCCTGAAGTTAACTCAGAAGTCTGACTTAGATCTTGTTAAAGGACCTAAGAAAATGACCTAAGAAAATAAACCCTCTTCATTGAAATTACAGCTCCCCCGCTGTTGCTTACCTTCAAAACTGAGTTCTAAAGAATTAAAATTTGTGACTATAAACTTTAAATGTCTACAGTGAGAATTACTGGGGTTTAAACTTGTGAAGGGAGCACCTGTTTCTGGGTGCCCTTTGAATCTTGTTCAGGACCTTGTTGAGGTCCTGTCTCTGTACTTTGGATCACCCTTCTTCCTCAGCCCTGATACTATATTTTTGTGGTTTTTTTCTAATTAGAGAAATAATAACATTTTTACAGAAGAAATACACACCGTAAAAATTCAGTTTTCAGTCAGCATCGCTTTCCCCAAAGACAGTAATCATTAACTGACAACAGTGTGTTCTTCTTGATTTTACTGGCTCAACCGGGTACAAGTAAGCTCTAAAAAACTATGTTAAATTTTGGTGAAGTTTCAGTGATAAGAGTCCTTTCATAAACTTGAAGTCTCAAAATGTACATACTCTTTGGTGGTTCCATTTCTAGGGGTTAATTGAGGTGGAATAGTAAGAGATATTGTATGTATATTGTATACAACACTGAAAACATTTGAAACATAATAGTAGAGCAGTGATTAGTCACCTATTTGAATAGTGCACAGGCCTTTTTTTCAGAGAATGTGTAATGACATAAAGTAATATTTTTTTAAAAAGTGTAGTATAATCCCAATTTTGTAAGGAAAACATTTGTAAACATGCACACGTACAAGGGAATATACCACATGTAAGTATAAATATAAAATCAATCCTCATTCACGGATCCCATTTTGCCAGTTCACCTACTTATTAAAATTTGTTACCTCAGAATCAGTACTCAAAGTACTTCCACGGGTAATGTGTGTGCAGAACGGCAAAAAATTTGAGTCCCCCAAAATACACGTTCCCAGCTGAGGTTGAACAAGGTGTTGCTTTTGATTTCAGCTCACACTGTAAGCAAGTGTCCTTTTCGAGGTCTGTTTAGTGCCACATTTTTCACATTTTTATGCTTTTTGTTGATGATTTCACTGTTTAAACTCGTCCCCAGGCACAGTGCTGAAGAGCTGTCCAGGGTTCCTGAGTGCAGGAGGGCTGTGATGTGCCCAATGGAGAGAACACGTGTGTTAGATACATTTCAGGCCTGGGTTACAGTGCTGTTGACCGTGAGCTCAGCATTCATGAATAAACAATATATATTAAAGTTGTCTTTAAAAAAAAGATACACGTAAAACAAGGTTCTGTATTGATCGATTGACAAAAACGTGACCAGAGGTTTGCAGGAAGCTAACCCTGTGTTTCCACTCAGGTCAATCATTAAGGTAACTGTTCCAGACCTCTAAAGGTTTGCTGCTTCCTAATTTGCTAATTCAGTCTTCACAGCAACTTTATAGACCGTTACTGCTACAAATTGACTGTGTGTAGGTATATTTGCTTAGGAAAAAGACTGGTAAGAAACAGAACAACATGTATCATAGCCATGAATGATTACCTTAGCATTAGTTTCCATTTTTCTACCTTGAATCTTTGCTGCTTCTATAATCTGATGATGTGTATATTTTAAGTATTAATTTTAAAAATTAAAATTCCTTTTAAGCAGACATAATTTATCACCCAGATATTATCTGTCAAAAGATCCGGAAACAGTATTGGGAAATAGAGGTTTGCTCGAGTTGCCTGAAAGAAAGTGGAGAGACTTGGATAATTTGTGAAATCTTTCATTCAAAATGTATGAGAGCCGATAGAACCATCCCTGCTTGCTTGTAGACCACACGTTCCTGATACGCATGTGTGGGTCCAGAGGGTCGGTCTCCTTTTTTTTCTTCCTCTCACTGGCATTCAGCTGTCAAAATGCCAATCTGCCTGTTCTTTGAGAACCTAGTTTCTAGGCTCCACTTTAACAATTTCCTTTCTGTTTTGACTTGACATCACTTTGTAAACAAGTTACAGTTATAATTGAATTCCAGTTCATCTTACAATAGTTACAGCTCTATTTTCATGACTTCTGAGCTACACCCTGTTTCCTTGAATGATTACAAACTTGGGAACCTGCCTCCTGAACCTGAGCAGCTCTTTCCTAAATCATCTTAATTAATTTGCGCGCACTTGGCAAGCAGCTCAGGGGTGTTTCAGTCTCTCTGCGCAGTTTACAGTAGGCTCTCTGTCCGATTCATAACTTGCTCGGTTATCCCTGTTTTGGTGTGAATATAACCTTGCTATTTCTGTCGTTTTCTTTTAGTCTTTTAAATGGCTAGTTTGTGGGGGGGGGGAGTTTTTTTTAAGCCCGAAGTGAGGTTGTTTGCTTCCATTTACAGACAATGTGGAGCTCATACTGAAAACAGTCAATAACCAGCACAGTATTGAGAATCAGGACAACGAGCAGCCAGACTATGACAGCGTGGCGTCAGACGAAGACACGGACCTGGAAGCCGCCGCAAGCAAGGCAAACAGGCAGAAGGTGAGATGGCGCATCGCACACACAAAGGGAGACTGCGTTGCCCTGTCACACCTCTCCTCCTGCGAAACTGCCTTATTTGTGAATCACTTGAGGGCTAGCCCTGTGGGAAGTGCTCTGGAGGTGAAGCTGAGTTTACTGCTAGCTTGGGCCAAGCAGAGGTCAGTGGGGTAAATCGTTTAAAATAGGAAGTCTTTTGTCCCTGAGTCAGTTGCTAAATCACAGCCCTGCCGCAGTTTTGACTTTATGAAACTTGTGAGGAGGGGCTGGTGGGTTTTATTTCATCCAGTGTTTAGCGTGTGACTTCTCTGGATAATACCCTCCTGAGGGAGGCCTAGTCCCTCTCGGCTGTGAGGCCGTCACTGCCCAGTAGGGGAGGTCATGGTGCAAGTGTAATGAGCACAGACAGAAGCAGAGGTGGAGGAGTCACACCTTGTTGCGGAGGAGGGGTGTTCGGGAGGTTTTGTAAGTGGGATAGCTCTTAACTAAGTGCCTTAAAGGATGCATGGGATGTGGGCGTGTGGAGAGGCAGAGGCGGGTGGTCCAGGCAGAGAGAAAGTGAGAGAGCAGTGTCTAGGGGGATGTCTGGTCACGTGTGGTCAGCCTAAAAGGAGCGGGATTCAGAAAGCTGCCATAGCGGGTGGGGTCACACTGCACAGGAGTGTGACGCCAGACCGAAGAGCCTAGCCCTCAGCCACCAGTGCAGAGCCCAGGAAGCTTTCAGGCCGAGCAGGAGGTTGGAGGTTAACCACTTCGAGTCCCTTTCTGGGAAGACTGTTCTGGGGGGCCGGAGAGTGGAGGAAGGTAATCCAGCCAGGGGAGGGCTGAAGAGGTCCAAACAAGAGCTGCCACAGGCTCACCAAAGGGCCTCCACTGGGGGGGTCTGGGTGGAGGAGAAGTCCCTGTAGCAGAGGGTGAGGCTGAAGACAGGGCAGCAGGGGCCTGGCTGGCCCACCCACTGCTCAATCTCCCGGACCTGGCCAGGAGAGGGGCTCAGCAAACGTTTGAGAATGGGTGAACAGGAAGATAGAAGAGACAAGTCTTGGCAACAAGTTGGATGTTTGAAGTGGGAAGACAGACTTCCAGGAGACGTGCCCCAAGTTTTCCAGCTTACACACAGTGGTGCCATTGGCAGGTGCAGGGAATGCGGAGGGGATGGCAGGAGCCACTTGTCCCATCTGAAGCGTCTCTGTCCAGTCTCCCCAGAAGTTCCAGGTTCACTTGCGTGAAAGCCAGGTCATGAGAGGGCCCTGCATGATGGGGCCCCTAGACTGACCGGCCTCCTCCTCCTTTCCGCCTCGCATTCCCCTCTAGCTGAGCTCTGCCTCTGGCTGGAACGCTCTTCCTCCAGACAGCTGCCTGACTAATGTCTTCACATCCTTCAGGCTATTGCTCATGTCCCACCCACCCAAAGGCTTACCCCCCCATCTGGTTAAAATGCACCCACCTTCGCCCCTACTTCAGCTTTCTTCTTCCCACTCTGCTCTTTCTATTTATTTTCCACAGCACTTAACACCTTCCATCATACTCTACAGTTACTTATTTTTATTTCTTCCCTCTCTCACTCTGTTGGGATGTAAACACCATGGAAGCAGGAATTTTTGTCTCTTATGTATCCCAAGCCCCTAGAACACTGCCTGATGCTCAGCAAAAATCTATTGAAATGAGTGAATTAATGAAATAATGAATGAAAAAAAGAAAAATGAATGAGCAGAAAGGCAGACAATGCAGATGAACACAGAGTCATCATCAGAGCAGATTTGTAGGCCCACTGTCTGGTCTGTTAGAAAATATTGACTTTAAAATTTTTCAAATATTACAGTAGCCCTGCCTTTATGTTTGATTTTTGCATTACTCTCAGAAGCCTTGACTTGGTTTGATTAACTTTGCAATCCAGCTGGCATGGTCAGAATTTGAAATTCTTTAGCTGTTAGTCTTGAATGTTATCATCATCTCAGATTGTGAACATTTTCCCCAATTTATTTTTAGAGCCTAGATTCAGATTTATCAGATGGACCAGTCACTGTGCAGGAATTTATGGAGGTCAAAAACGCTCTAGTGGCTTCTGAGGCCAAGATACAACAGCTAATGAAGGTGAATAACAACTTGAGTGACGAGCTGAGAATTATGCAGAAAAAGGTAACATGTCAATAAATGCCAGGATGGTTGACTCTTTAACCCCATAGTATAAGGAAGACTCCCAGGCACGGTGCTTGTGGTCAGAGGGAAGAAAAGCAGACCTAACAGTCTTTGGGCCACACTGTCTTTTTGGAAGCAGTATGTATTTGGATATTTTAAATTGAAGTAGTTTGACTAGAACTAACTCCAGTGTAAGTTTCCCAAACAGGACAAACATTACAACCTGTTAAGTGTCCGTATCAGCTGTAGAATCCCTTGCGCTATCCTTTGCTTCCTGGGGAGCTGGATGCCACTCCATGCATGTGATTCTTCCTTTTTTTTTTGGCTCATTCTAAAGAATAATCACACCATGAAGACAGAGTAGACGAAAGCCCAGAACAGGTGTATGTGTTTATCAGCATTCCAGACCCCATCCCACGCCATGTAAGGGGTGCTGTCCCTGGTCCCTCTTACTGTAAGATGTTACTCACCCCGGCCCTGGCAACCCAGTCCCACATCCCCGCTTTATTTTTCACCAGTAGTTACCACTAATGTATGATGTCCTCAGAGCCACAGAGTAGGTACTCCACAAATAAAGAAAACATTGCGTTCGCGCTAGTGAGAACTGTACGCTAGTAAGAAACAGTCCCGTTTGCTCAACACTTCCTTGTCCACTGCCTTTTGAGAGAGTTAGAAATATATGAATATATTAATCTCTAAAAAGAGTGTGGCTAATAGTAGCAAGAAATACGCTGAAGAGGAGATTGCGTATGTAATTCTTTATGAGAATGCCAAGACAAGGAAGCTAAAAAAGTTCTAAATTCTGCCTAAGACCATGTGGATACTGCTCCCATCATTCAGTTCTCTACAAAAGGAGGTTTTTGTCCACTTCTCTTAAACAGAAGTGAAACAAAATATATGTCTGTGTCTTACTACTATCCTTTGAAGAATAATGCTTCAGAGTCACTATCAAGAACAGAGGACATGGCGCATTGCATTTGTGACCGGGCCTTTTTCAGTGTTACTTCTTAAGGGACAACTAAAGAACTGCAAAGAACCCGGGGCCCTCAGCTTGTCAGGGAGGAACACCGCAGTGCACCCTCGCCTGGGGCGCTGTCTAGGATTCTTTTGATGTTGAGTTCTAGATGATTTTTGGAGACATTTTGAGATAGATGGCCTCAACACTTATAATAGAAGGGGACAAAAATACTTGAAGATCAATCAGATTTTAATTGAGTACCTGTTCTGAGCCACCCTGGCCCTGTCTAGGGCTGCTTTGCAGCCATGAACCAGACAGACCAAGCACCCTTTTGCTGTAACATACAGAGATTACACTTCTGTATTTTCTGAAATATCTTTTGTTTACTGAAGCATAGTTTGTCCTATTAATTGAACTAGTAAATTTTTTTAAGGTGACGTTTTTGGAAACATGATGACTTTGCCACTTGTAAATCAGTCTGCTGAGCATCACCATTTTTATCCTGTAATGCTCCTTTTTTAGTATTTGTAGAAATCACCAGAGATAACCTCATATTTCTGAAAGCAGACATCTTGAGCTTCTTTAAGAAAAGCAGTGTGGAGTTATTTGTCATATTCATGGATTATCTCCTCAGTTCTTAGAAATGCTTTTGATTTCTGAAACTATTTTCTGTAACTTTTCATTTCCTGTTATACTGCTTCCAAACAAAAAAGTGTAGTCTGGTTCTTAAGATAAGCATCATTCAGATTTATCTGAGGGCATCTCCCTAAATAAAGAGTACTAAAATTTTTTTAAAAATTGAGACCAGAAACTTGTGCTCATCAAAAGCACATTCAAGCAAAATCCAAGCTGGATGTTTTAGAGGCGTGAAAGTGTTAAGGTAAAGTTTCAGATTTCAAGGCCTTGTCTAAAAATAAAAAACTCTAGAAGAAGGTTTTCACATAGACGGACAAGCATGTAACCAGACCCCCTGGTCCTTCGCTGAGCTGTTGTGCTCTTCGCTGGCTGGACCTTGACCATTTCACGTGAGGGTACGAGTTCCCCAGTAAGTAGCTTTGACGGGCACTTTATGCCTGTCTGTGTTCTGGAATGTAGGGATTTTCAGTAGCTGCTTGTCACTCTGCAGCTGTTCTCCCTTTGGAAAAGGAGTTGCAGTTGAAAGTTACACCCTGAAAGCCTTTCTGGCGTCGAAGCAATCTGTATCATTCCTTAGGGATCCCTCTTTGAGAAACCTGAGAATGAGAGTATTTCTGTGGCAGAGGCAGTAAATCAGACTTTCACAAAAGTTTGGCACTATTATTATAAAGTATGCAAAATGTGTTTATTTACTGAAGATACATTGATTTCATTTCAAAGTTAGGTAAAGTTTTTATATATAGATGTATATATATATAGTTGATAAAGTAGCATGATTTGTGTCTGATCTTTCACATTTGACAGTTGCTTGGAAAAGATGCTAATTAATGAAGAGGAGCAGCCACTATTGGTGTATTATTCACAGATCGGTGCTTTCTAAATAGAAATTGAAAGTAACTCCTAACACTGAATGGGTTTGCTATTGAAAAAGTAATGATCTTCTGGTGCAGACACAGTTGCCTGTGGACGTAAGCCTTGGCCCTAGTGGGGAATCTGGTCAGATTTTACAATCTCTGTCAAAGAGTAGACAGCTGAACTCATACCACATCCAGCTTTTAAAATGTCCTGGAAGATGGAGGAGCACCAGAGGGGAAGGACGTTGTGCAGCCTGGACTCAGTTAATTGTGTTTAAAATGCCAGACGCTAAAGAGTAACACGATTCCTTGCTGATCCTTTATCTAATTCATCCAACACGATGAAGCGGCCTGCATGTGAGAAATGGAGAGAGCGTTCAGGGTCTCCAAGTGACAGCTTCTAACTAAAATAGGGTGGTGCCCGGCATAGTAGGGTGTTTAAAGCCGACACCACCATTGTCACATTTTTGGGTGACAGAGCCAAAGGAGAGAGAGGCCAAGTATTCCGGCTCTGGCTGAAAGATGACCGATCACCAGAGGGCAGCGTGCCACGTGGAGCGTTCAGATGAAGACGCTGGTAGTTCAATAGGTCTCCGGTTCCCTTTCTGATATGTTAATATAACAAACTTACCATGATCTGGTTCCCTCTCTTTTTTTTTAAAAAAAGTGCTAAATTGTTTGGAATATCAAAGAGTATTATGTAATAAAAATTTGTTGATCTTAATTTTTCTTGTCGGCTCTTTGGGAAGCAATAGCTCATCGGATTTTTCGTAAGCTGAATTTCACTGTCTTTCTTGCTTTGCAAAGTGACTTCTAGTTACCTTTGTGCTGCTTCCATGGTGTCTGCTGACATTTTTGGCATTTGCAAATTGCTCAGGGCTCATTTCAAAAGCAGGTTACCTAAGTGATGTCTTAATGATCTCAAGCTCTTGCTCGAAACAGCCATAGAATAATCCAGAGTACAGCTTGCCTGCAAACATTTCCCAGGCCCGCCATGACCAGTTTTTAAGCAGTTAGACATTTCGTTTTTAAAAAGTCCAAACTGCAACTTTTTCACATTCAGAAATTAGCTGTTTAATTTGCTTAAGTGGTGAAGTGAGTTGATCGTGTTTCACTCATACTAGAAGAGTTTTTGTCTGTAGATGCCTTTGACTTTCCACCCAGCGAGCTGTTACTGTTCTTATTGTATGCGTTTACTCGGTGTTTGCTTTTTCTGCTTGCTGTAGAAAAACACAGTCCCACTGCCAAACATTTCTTTCAGCTTCAAACACTCCAGAGTGAAAATTCGAACCTCAGGAAACAGGCCACAACCAATATATATCAGGTGCAAACTGATTCTGAGTACACAGACACTTCCAACCACTCTTCCTTAAAGCGACGTCCGTCTGCCCGGGGCAGTAGGCCCATGTCCATGTACGAGACGGGATCAGGTCAGAAACCGTATCTCCCAATGGGAGAAGTGAACCACCCCGAGGAGAGCAGGACGAGACTCCAGCCTTTCCCCGCACACGTAAGTAACCCCACTGGCGCTTCCGCTCTTCACTCTCTGTGCAGCCTGACTCCCGCCTTCCTTCTCCTGAACCTGCACACCCCCAGTCTCTGCTTTAGAAACTGGGCTATGTGAGTCCTTGTGTTTGCTGTATTAACATGTCCACGGACGCTTGCAGGGTTCCGCAGGCACGCAGGGCCACTGGCCAAAAGTTTTCCACCAGCACTGGGGGTTCTGGCTTTTGCTCAGCACCCCCCGCCTTTTACCTCCCCCGTATCCATAATATCTTTCCCAGCCAGCCATTATTGGAATTTTTTTGGTAACAAGCTGCTTTTCCCATTTCCAAAAACAAAGACAAATTGTATAGGTCACCAGCAGAGTAAGTGCCGTCTTCTTTGAGGTAGACACGTGTGGTACGTGCCCCTTTACGGACAGGGGCCCCTGGAATTCATGGTGCCTTCCCTGCTCCTCCCACTTGAGCAGGTGGTGTCTGGCCTGGGCTTGCTGGCAGGTCTGGAAGCCTCTGGGCCTCCTCAGCCCCTGGCCCTGTGGTCGGTGTGCCCGCTTGGCTGCTGCGTCCCCCTTCTCTCCTGCGTGGACCAAGTGTTGCTTTGTCATTTCAGAAGGATGAGATATAAAAACTGCATGGATTTTACAAGCGTTGCATTTCGAAGATTGTATTCTGTAACAGGCTGCTAACACTCTTACGTTACAGTGGAATAAGTATTGTGTGAATAAGTATTGTGAGGTTTTCAAATACAATCTTGCCATTGGATTAATTTATTTTAAAGAAAAACCCTGTGTTTTGGCAAAATGTTGCAGGCATTTTGAAGCCATGTGATGTTTTTTCAGAGACTAATATTTATGTTTTTGAATGTCCAAGTTGTTCTTCAGTCAACTTTTATAGGAATTTGCAAAAACTTCTCAGAGTAAATGCAAAGAAAAGAATACGGTCTAGTAAATTTAACCCTAGTTTAATTTTGTCAAGCTTTAGTGTGATAAAATTACTGTGTTGTTATATTGTAATTAGGAGTCGACTACTTCAACTTCTTAAGTTGTTTGGGCCAAATATTCTAAAACAATTGACTTGCTATGTTTGATGTAGTTGGAGTGCCATTAAACTAAGTTAAGAATCTCATTTTTATGTAACTGAAAACAAACTTTAGGAAAAGCCACTTTGTTAGTTCTCACAGTGTACTTTTTGATTTTAGAAACATGCAGAATGTAGGAAAGTCATATTGCAAGAGTTCTATCTGTGCTAAAGGATAGATTGATAGCATGTACTAACTTTAAATCATTTGTATAGCTTTCCATTTCATATCGTCTGTCCTGATTAAAAAAATAAATTTCATTTAAGGCTATCCATTAAAAAAAAAACTATTGGCAAATTTGACAAATTATGCTAGGTATTATCTTTTCCCTCATAGAAAAGTAGCCTTACGAACTCCAAGTAATTTCCAGGAGGCATTCCACTAAGAGATTAAACATCTCTGGGGATCTGTCACTGGCTAGCGTGTTAATTCCAGATCCTGTCTCACATAGTGAGTTGCTTTTTAGGATTCTTTTACTGGGAAACCTGGGCTGAAGCCAGGGTAGGTGGTCGGGTTTTTGGTTTGTTTTGTATTTTCCCGAGTGTGTTTCTTTTTCCCCTTCCAGATCGGGAGGAGTGCGCTTGTGACCTCCTCTTCGTCTCTGCCTTCCTTCCCCTCCACACTTTCCTGGTCGAGGGACGAGAGCACCCGAAGGGTTAAGTACACTCTGGATGGTCTGCTCTCTGGAGGAGGGGCAGTGCTCCTGGATGCTCTGTGCTTCTCCTGGCCCTCCGCTAACCCCCTTCTGTCCTGCATGAGGCAGCGCTTCCCTCCTGGTGTCACCGCACGTGCGCGCACACGCGTGCACACACACGTGCACACACGCATGTCTGCCAGAAGCGGCCTCCCATTCCTCTAACCCCACATTGCTCAGTCTCACGTGATATTTAACAAAGTTCACAACTGATCCTGTAACATTTATTCTGAGCATACTGACTTTTTAAACAATCAGAAAAGTAGCTGGCTGCTGGTTAAATATTACAATGGGGCAAATCGGCCCAGTTCGTTCAGAGAATTAGTGTATTTGGACTAACGGAAACACTAAGACATCGTGCCTTTTTATTTTTTATTTTTTTTACCTCTTGACATATTCTGTGTCATCCTCATCCTTGACACACCAGGGTTTTGCAGTCTCTGTCCCACATCAGGACTGCAGCACATGGCAGCCCTGGAGGTGTAGGCGGCTGTTAATATGAAGCTGTCCACTTCGTTAGCTGGTCAAGGCCAGCTTGCTGATGGACAGCGTGCGCTCCCCACAGCAGGACGTGGCGCAGGTGAGCCCCTTTCAGAGTAGCCAGGCAGCGAGTATCTATCGAGCACCTCCTCCACACCTAGCCTTTTGATAAGTCAATTAAAGGGTCCCAGGGACTTAGGTGACAACCCTGCTCCCAAAGGCACTGTCGATTCAAAAATATTTTCATGCATGGGGAGTACACTATGGCAAGCGGGGAGAGTCGTGGAAGAGCACTGGGTGAGGGACCACCGGACATGGTGGGATTTGCTCAGTCAAGGCCTTTGTCCATTCCCTCCACATCGGCAGGAAGGATGGAGGACCCTTCCCACTGCCAGTGCCTTACAGCTCATGGAGGCCCTTCAGCGACTCTTTGCTGCACTTTGAGGTAGTCTGTTAAAAAGATGTCTGGATATATGCTACAGTCTTCTGAGCAGTTCTGAGATTGAACTGCAGTGTTTTTTATTACATTTCAGTTAACTAAGGGACAGACAAATAGAAATGAAGTCATCTCTTTTGAAATTGTGTTAATGAGTCGAGGAAACCTCGTTTGTCCACCCTGGAAATTAAAAAAAAAAATTTTAATTAAAAAAAATGACTGAGACAGTGTGTTATACAAGCCATTTAAACCAGTGGTCCTGATTGCTCCTGACAACTCCATCAGGAGCTTAGGATTTTATGGCATGTCCATATTCAAGAGAAAACTGCGAACCTATTAAATAAATAGAACCAGCACCAGCTATTAGGTACTTTCCTATTAACAGCTTCGAGAGAGCAGCACTTTTAACTAATAGATCTTAGTTCTGCATGTTTACAGTAATTTTCATAAAATTAAATGCTGGCTAATTCGAAACTCTGAAATACGCTTTTGTTGACAACGATGAAGGATTGAATGTAAGTAACTGATTTCCTGGGTGGTTATTGCTATAAGTTGTTTTGTGTCCCTGAGAAACATTTCCTGAGTACTTTAATCAGATGTATGTATCGTTACTCTTCTAAAATGTTTAAGTGAAACTTGGTACTTCTGATCATCGTGAGGGTCATGCATTTGATTTATAATTATCAAATTTACGTCAAGGAAGGTAAAAAGACCCATTATAAAAAGGTGGGATTTTCTGCGTTTAATTCTGTTTTCTGGCTTTTTCCACTGGAGCAACTCTGGACAAATTTCCCAGAATAATCACTTAAATGCAAGTTTTTTACATTCCATTTTATGCTATGTATGTGTGTATACACACAAACACACACGTGTGTGTGTATGTGAATGTATACATAAAAGCTAAAAGAAAAGAAATTTAAAGATCAGTCAGACATTCCCTGTGAAAGGTAAGAAAAGATGTTTCGTTCGTTTGTTTTGTCTTTTGTCCTTTGTTTTGTTTTATCTTTTGAGATCACCTGGAAGAGCCTGGTCTCCCTGTTCCCTGCCCCAGTTACAGTGCCTGCCTTTGGTCTTCCATTTAGGCATCTGGTAGCCAGTAACTCACTGGTTGACTCATAAAGTCAAGTCAAAACAGCAAGTGAAGAGAACTTCTTGCTGGTAGGGGCTATAAGCAAAGGGATCTTAAATGTGGTCGTTTTTACAGAATTTGGCTTTCCAGACACCCTGTGTAGCTCCAAGCCAACACTTTTAATCATTTGCCAGATGAGTTTGAGTGGGTAAAATATGGACTCTCATTGAATTTTAGGGGCCCACTGCAAGTGTCTTACGTTAGCGTAGCTTCGACCAAATAGAGCATTTGGAGGAAACATGAAAGAGCTCAGCAGACAGAGAAAGAGTGTTCGCACTGGGAGAGGAGAGAGAGAGGCCATGGGGATAGGAAGCAATGTGTGGTGTTAGTAAGGAGGCTTGCCCCACCTCGGGGCTGGCTGCCTGCCTGCCCACATAGGGCCTTCACAGGGCCAAGCAGCATTGTCAGTAAGGAGCAACTAATTAAACTCTATGTAGACCTTCTTAACTGACTTACTCTAAAGGAGCCATTTTTGGGGGATGAAGCTACAGGATCTCCATATGTTTAAGACTCTGAATTTATAGCTATATCTTCAGCCACATTTTATTGCAGCATCAATGAAATTTACATGTTTTAATTAACCTGGATTCAATTCGAGGTGTAGAACTGGAAATAGCCCATATTTGTATTTTGCAATTGGTAACCAATTTAGGTTTTTAAATCAACCTGTTCAAACAAAGAAATTCTCCAGCGCAATAAATAAAACACATGCTGAGGGAAAATCATTTTTATTAAATACTCCAGAACTAACGTAGTTTCCTTTGAAGGAATGTGGTCTCCTTCAAATGTTGTCGCCCTGGAAGGCCCTGTACTTAGCAGTGCTGCCATTTGCTCAAAACAGTGGTAGGAATCCTGCATCTCACTTTTAATTTTTAAAAAGACTTTTCTGTTTTTTAATTTTTTGGTGGGGGAGGTAATTAGGTTTTTATTTATGGTGGTGGAACTGGGCATTGAACCCAGGATGTTATGCATTCTAAGTATGAGCTCTACCACTGAGCTATACCCTCCCCCTCTGCATCTGGTTTTTCATTCTCCACAGTTGCACCCCATCTTTATATTTTAAAGGATAGATGTTTGGGGAGACAGATAAAAGTGTTTGGAAACCAAGTGTCACTGGGTTAATCCATTTTGGTTCACAAGCAATGTGTGGCAATAAATGAACAGTTTCTGGTTTCCTTGTGTGGCTCCTACAAGCCATCTTTGAGAGTTGTTCTTGGAGGGCCGTCTGTGTTGAGCAGTGGAGGTCCTCAGAGCCCCAGGCGCGGAGTATTGGAGATAGCAGGAGACGGGAAGCCCGGAGTCTTGGTCCTGGTCTCCTGCCGACTCTTGGCCTTGGGGATGACACCCAGCTTTTTCAGCCCTTCATTTTCCCACCTGGTATTAGACTAGCTAATCTGCAGTGGCTCCCAGCACTGACGGTCTATGGGTATGTGTGCTGGCAGGTCTGCTTTTTAAATGGATCCCCTTATATTACAGTTAAACTCCATACCCCTTAGAGAGCTCCGCGTGAGCGTTGCCTTTCGTGTCTGTGTTGGTTTGTACCAGGGATCTGTGTGTGGAGCAGCCGTGAGCTAAGAGGAGAGTGGGGTAGAGAAAGAAAGAAACCATTTCTGGATCCACTGTTCATCTTTTACGAAATTTTCAACTAAGTGTTGGCTCCCATCCCAAATACGGTCTGGGGTGTCAAGGCCACGTAGCCTGACAGGTGACAGTTCCTGGGGAGGCACCGAGAAGCGTCTGGTGCTCTCAGCTCATGGGGTCGCCTTTTCTCTCATAGGCTTCCAGGCTGGAGAAGCAGAACAGCACACCCGAAAGTGACTACGACAACACTCCCAACGACAGGGACCCAGACGACCTGGGGTACATCTGCAGGAGGAGCGGCCTGGGGGCTGGGCCCTTACCCCAGAGACCTAGCAGGCGCGGGTGCGGTCAGGAGGCGCAGCACACCACCTGCACCCTCTGTTTTCAGACCCATAAGGTCGTCAGACATTGAGGCATGAGTTCATAGTTCACACCTCTTCTCACTTCACGTTATTCACCAAAAAAGGGGGGCCTTTTGTTTTCCTTTCACTAGCTGGTGATGCTCGTCTCTAAGTCTCTGATGTGCTTAAAGTCAGTCCTTCACTTCATTTTCGAGTTGATGGCAGATTACTGTCTGCATTTGTATCCCAAGGAGTCGGCTCAGTGAGGGCTGGCTTCCTAACAACACAGCCTCCCTGTTCTGGTCGTTCCCTCCCTTTCCCCTTCTTTACCCTTCCTGCAAGACTCATACCACTTCCAGCCCCACGGCAGAATGAAACAGCCTCCCTGTGAGCTGTGGCTGCCTGCTGATGAACCAGCCTTACCCCGAGTCTCCTGCCAGACAGGATAAAGGAAACCACAGAAGCAGCCAGCTCGTGCCTTCAGCAAGCACACGTGCAGTGGCTCCTGGAAGCAGAGAGGCAGCCAGTAGGCACCTGCCACTTTTAACCACTTCTGTAATGCTCACAGGTCAAGCAGAAAGGGAAGGCAAAGGAGTATGGTGTGGCAAGGTGATGGCTCAGTCCCAGATCCGGCAGAACCCCACGCAGCCCCGAGCCCCGTCCTCCCCAGCACCGAAGACGTCATCCGGAAGACTGAACAGATCACCAAAAACATACAGGAGCTCTTAAGAGCCGCCCAAGAAAATAAACATGACAGGTAAGGGGGCTTGGAAATCCTGCCTGGCAGGACGTGTGCACTGCTGCTGCTCCAGTTATGAACGGGGATTCTTTTTTCAACATGCTGACTTGGAGAGTTGTTGAAAATTTCAGGTTTACATAATTTCAGGCTTCAGAACAAATTTGTAAATTTGGTTTTGTTTTTTCTTACGTGGTATTTTCAGTTTTTCATCTTCTTATGGTGTGCTCTGAATCTAAGAAATAGGACTGCAGCACACTTGGGGTAGGGTATTCCTGGTTCTCGGTGGCGAGGTAAAAGAGGCCACCTCAAACCTGCAGTGCATTCTCCCCACCACCCTGCTCCGTGTGGTCTCCTTGGCTGGGGGAGGTCTGCTGACTTAGAAGGCATCCTGAAACGAACTGATTTTGTACCTGTTTCCCTCGTGTGTGCATGGGTGTGCGTGTGCGTGAGCGCTGATTTAATCTTAAAAGTTGATTTAATCGTCGCCCAAATCATTCTCTGCTCCTGAAAAAAAGAGTCTGTTCACTCTGAGCAGAACCGTGTCGTGCAAGTTGTTCCTCCCTCTCCCAGCCCTTGTTCTCACTCACCCCTTTGTTCTCTGAGAGTGAATTCTGAGAACACCTGGCAGGTTCTTAACTGTTGTGGGTGGCATCCTGGTTTCACGTGGCTGGCCTGCTGCCGACACCCTCCTGACACGTTTAACATCATCCCACCGAGTTTATGAAAGCCGCGGGGTTCGGTCAAAACCCAAGAACTACCTCATTTTTTTTATCAAGTCAGCAAAGTTTAGGGCTTGAGTGAAGAACTTCTCTTTGTGCCTTTGCACAAACAAAAGTCGTTCAAGGAACGACTTTCTTTTCCCTTCTTTTCCCTCTCTGTCCTCTTCCATGAAGAGATGCACCCCTGTCTTTTGCACAGCCTGTGTCCCTGGCACTGCCGTGCCCACCTCCCCATGTTCTGCCATTTCCCTTCTTGCTGCACAGCTGGGACTTCTCCCAGTGTCGTTATTTCCACACAGTAGGAGAGGAGTGGTCAGTGTTTACTGAAGGAGCAGTTAGTCTTGATGAGTGGACTGCTGGAGGAGCCCCAGGGACAGAGAGGAACCTGCATAATTTCTCAGCTTCTCTCCACCAAAATTACGTAGCCATTTATCTGCCCCGTTCCCCGGACATCCCCTTCATCACACGTCCTTCACGCCTCCCACGCTGCAGGTGCATACTTCCTTTGCTCAGCACCGCAGCCTTGGCAACAGGCACCTTCATTATCTCATTACATCAAGCAAAGTGGTTCACACTTTTCCCAGTACAATCTTTCACGGAACCTCGATGCTAGGGTGAAAGCCTTCCCCAGGGCTCTCCCACCAACACCGGGCCTCACTTCTCATTTCCCCCAGCTCAGAAGGGCCTGCTCGTATTTCAGACAACAACACAGAGATATGCTCACGTTAGGTTGCTCTCTTTGATAGTTGTCAGAAATATAAATGTCTGCCCTGGGGCTGTTTCTGGCTTTGGCAGTCACAATATGGTGCTTGATACAGTTGGGAAATTTCTTTTTTTTAAGATGTACAAATCCATTCAATAATGTTATGATCCTATTTTTTAAAGACTGTTAGAGAGTAATACAGAGATTTTACTCATTAGCTCACTCTTTTGGTTTAAACTAGATTCGGCCTAGAGAATTTATATTTTATAAATTGTTCAGCATTGTAGTAAAATCTCTGGCCACTTGCATATTGGAGACGCTTTCATTTATAACCTTGTGTGGTACTAATTAAACCCATCCCCTTTCCTCTTGTTGATCCATTGCTTGTGCTCATGCTAAGTGGACCAGCAGCCCATGCATGCATGGTCAGCCTTGGTCCAGGTACCCTGGACTGAGCAAGCTCCCCACAGCCCCTGACCTTCCCTCCCTCCTCCTGGTCCCATCCCTCAGCTTCCATCCTCGCTCCCTGCCTGTCTGTGTCTGTCTGTCTGTCTGTCTGTCTGTCTCTCTCACACGCACACACACATATAGTTAACAGTTCAGGGATTACTACATATTATGCACAAAAGCCTTTTTGAGGAAAGATAAAAATTTGAAGTTGTGGACATGAACTGCCTCTGATAGAGCAGGAGGACTTGGTCGTTATCTGCACATGCTTTCTTCTGTGGCTTTTTGAGGACTTCCTCAAATACTTTGTAATGAGTGAGCTTCTGAGAGATGTCCTTAGGAAAAACTTCTTCTCTGTGTAGTTGGTGGAAAGGGTGAATTATGTTTCTGGATCAAAATGAAAATCATAACCAGCAAAACATGAATGGTTCAAGAAACATTCATGCCTTTTACGATGGTTGCTGTACAAATGCCGTTTTTCGAGTGTCTGTGTCACCAGATGGGCTGTTGCCCCTTTGTGTTTGCAAGTGAGCTAACTCCTTGTGCAGTGGCATTTTTGTTATTACGTGGTGTGTGGTTCTAACTGCTCACAAAGGTAAAAGTCAGGATTTCCCATTTGAAGACATCTTGGTATAATTCAAACCATTTTCTTGAGGTGTAATGATTTAATTAAAATGTAGGTAGTCCTAATTAAAATAGTTGTAACACTAGATTTGATTCTTACAAAGATGAAGTACAGAGGTTGTTTATGACAATCTTTAAGCAGAAGCCTAAAAAATGGACCTAAAAAATGGAGAAGGAATATTACTTGAGGGCTTTCAGTACTAGGATGGATGACAAACAGCCCTGGGTTCTGTATCTTAGAAGGGAAGTTTTAAAGCACAGCCGCGTGGGTTCTTGAGCAAAGCCAGGCCCATGTATTCACACCATATCCCCTGCATGCTGAAACCAGGCTCCAAAAGAGCTTTTCCGATTTCCCCCCGGGCTCTGTGGGTCAGTTCTAGAAACAAAACCCAGGCCTGGGGTCAGTGTGGTGTCTCAGAACTGTCACTAAGTACCATCTTCATTTTGTCTTTGTCTCTGCACCTTGTGACACCTACTACCCAGGACAGAAGCCTAACATTTTTAAGATGCAGGAAACGAGCCCCGTATGTTGCTTATCACAATACTGAGAGTTCTGAATGAAGGGAAAAGTCTCAGTTCTTCCAGTGCTCATCACTGGAGAAGTCAGAATCACCAGTCATCAGTGGGAAGAGGCTTTACATAGTGATGGGAGTCTGATGCCAGGAGAGGCCCGGTGGGTGGAGTGAGGGTGCCTGGCTCGGTTGCTGGACGGCCAGGGTTGAGCTCAGCTCTCTCTCACCAGCTGTGGGACCTTGGACAAGTTCTCCACCTCTCCAGGCCCCGTCTTCCTCATTTGAGAAATGGGTGTGATAGTAGTACCAACTTCATGGGGCTGGTGGGCGGATTACGCAATTCTCTGCAAAGCACCAGGAACAGAGCCTGGCCACACAGCCAGTGCTCCTGACGCTTCGGCTCACATGCCGTCCTCTTGGGGGACCCACAGGAGGCCAGGCGGCCTGGAAGAGGGATGAGGACGGGCAGACTTGACGCGTTTTGTCTGCTCAGAGCTCGTCAGCGAGCAGAGAAAGCGCTGACCGTGCTCAGACCGTTTTATACACGTTCATGCAGCTTCACAAGAAAACAACGTGACAAGTGTCTGAGCAACTAGATGAGGCTGACCTCAGTGTTGCCTCTTTACCAAGAATAAAGCTTTTCTCTCCCTAACAATTCAAATGCATTGAAGGGAAGGAATTCAGAAGCGCCCGTTGGTTAAAGATACCCGTGGGTGTTGAGGTGTAGGCTAAAGGAATTTTTTCAGTCCTTTCCTTTTAATTTGTGGCTTTTTGCATGGAAATCCTTGTTTCTCTTTCAAGAAATTAGGAAGATGAAACACATGAGAATTGAATAACCACCTGGAGGCGGCGTGGGTATCTGTGCAGACTGTGGCTCCTCCTGGCTAGCAGTGTATGTCACCTCCATTTACACCTGGAAACTGTTTTCATCAGATTGAATGAACTCACAAGAAAGGATGGAGGGGGGCCCTGCGTTACCACCGCGCGTCTTCTGCTGGTGTGGGGTCATAGCAGGCTGGCCACGGCCGCAGCCCCTTTGCTCAGGGAACGTCAGTGGGACCTATTCTTGCCTGAGAGTTCTCTGTCTCTGAATTATTTTTACTGTCGTTGAATAACCTCTTCAATAACTTCTTCTTGCAGTTATATTCCCTGCTCAGAGAGGATACACATAGCTGTTACAGAAATGGCAGCATTATTCCCCAAAGTAAGTCACTCCCTACTCCCTTGGTTTAGATCCTTTTTAACAAACTGCAAGAAATGTCTTTATGACTTTTATATTCTATTAACCTTTTTGCAGCACAGAGAATTTTAACTATGCAAATAGCCCTTTGGGGCTTTGAAATATTTTTGTTCTACATGAGTATTGATGTGGGTTTAATAAGACAAGAATGTATGAGCCAAATGCCAAAAGGCAAAAAGCATGAATAGGATAAAATTGTACCTGGAATGTTTCATCCAAGTGGATTAATATTTTTCAAAAAGCTACTTGAGAATAGCACTACTAAATGAGCACTGCTAAATCCACTGCATGCACTTTGACCTTTGAGTCAGAGCGCTTCAGCATCCATCGCATTGTGAGTCACCGAGCTTGCAGTGTTCCGAGCACCCCAGTACAAAAGTGCATGATAGAACTGCCGTTCACTGCGGAGCGGCCTGAGCTGTCGTCCGGGGAATGCTTGTCCCTGCTCCCGGACATGTCTGCCCTGCAGTTCATGGCGAATGGCTGTGTTTTTCTGTTTAGAAACCCAAGTCTGACATGGTGAGGACTTCCCTCCGGTTACTGACATCCAGTGCCTACCGGCTCCAGTCTGAGTGCAAGAAGACCCTCCCGGGGGACCCGGGCCCACCCACAGATATCCAGCTGGTCACGCAGCAGGTCATCCAGTGTGCGTACGACATCGCCAAGGCCGCCAAACAGCTGGTAACCATCACCACCAAAGAGAACAACTGAACAGCTGGACAGGTGCTGGCCCTTCCGTTTTCTAGGCTTTTTCAAAGTCCAGTTCCCCACTTAGACATGGAACTCTTCCGATTTTTACAGAAACAAACATTTAATGAAAATCTCAAACTTTTTAAAAGAAAAACTCAGTATTATTTTTGCATGTTTTCTAACAAATTTTCAACTATTAATTTAACCCACTTGCCTTATTTTGTGCCTGTTTTGCCAGTTTATTTCCTGACGTTCTCTTGTGCTGTCGGTGACCGTTGAGTTCATGGTCATAGACATCAAACGCAAAGCTTCATTGTTTAAGTCTGTTAGAACTTCTCCATCCCTTCAGACTCCGTGTCTGTGGCTAAAACTGTAAGTGAGGTTTTTAGTGAAACATTTTCTAGAGAGAGTTGACTTAAAAAAAAGAAATTCAACCTTGTCTGTTCCCTATCAAGCATTGTGCAATAAGCAACATTTCCAGCCTCTACTGCGAAATCTCTTTGGGGTATCTCCAAGCAGGCAGGTAGAGAAAGGACTTTGCCACTTTCTAAAAACAGTGTAACAATCTCTCTTGGAAGGAAACAACAAACTGCGCCATTTCTTTTAACTGTTCTCTCACATTAGATGTTCTTTCATCTAATTTTTCTGTCCTGATCTTCTGTCTCTTTCTATTTTACTGTCATCCTGAAGTCTCCCACAGCGTCCGATAAGCACTCACCCTCCGTGTCGTGTGCCATTTGGCCACGTTACCGCGCACAGTCCAGTGCTCTGCCTTACCCCGGGGAGCCAGGCGTTCCATTCCAAACACGTGGCAAAGGGGAGCCTCAGTCCCCCCCACGAGCCGTGACTCGTTTCATGCCCCCCCTATTCCGGTATCACTGCCATAACCTGTGAGAAGAAGATGACCCACTCCCTGGCGCCGTGTCATACCTCTCAGCCCAAATTCAATTGCTCCTTTAGCCGCTTACAGCCTTCTCACACCACCTGCTTCAAATACCACACCACCTTTGAGGACTTCTTACAAGGTGAGATTTATACAGTCATCTGGGTTCGTTTCTTCTCCCTTACCTCGCCGGTACTTCAGAATGGGACGTCACCTTTCAAGAATTCCTTAGAGAGCACTCTCGCTGAGCACCAGCTGTCCCAAAGCTATGAAAGAGTGCGGGTGTAAGCTCTGGAACCCACCGGGACTGAATTCCAAATTACTACGGAGAGCTTTCCTGTTCTGAAAGCCGAAGTGTATTCCTTCCCTGCTCGTTGCAGCGCTTCTGTGTGGGCCTGGCTCAGACCCTGACCGAGACCCGAGGAGCCAGGGTGGGGGACAGTTTACCAGTGGGGACAGCAGCCCCCAGCTCCACTCAGACTGCTGTGTGGAAAAGGGGCTGGGGTTGCCAGAGCTTTGATTTGTTGAGAGACACCAGGTACTTTTTGTGCCGTCTCTCCATTTATAAATGTTGACGGCTGATCTAAATGTTCTCACAGCACATATGGGTGAGCTGTGGCCCCTAGGCTGCCGGCTCACAGCTCTGCCCCGGGACCCTAAACTGTGTAGTGTGAAGGCCTGGCTTCCTCGGTCTCACCTGGTTTAGCCCCTGAGCCTTACCTGTAACGTGGCCGCCATCCCGTGTTAAGTTGCTGTTAGGCCTTATTTCTCCTGCATAGTGCTCGTTCATACGTGTGAAAAAGTCAAAATATTTTATCAAAGTTGCCTAAATACATGGCTAAATAAGCTTGTGTCTTCACAGAACTGTTCGATGCACAGGCACCTTTGTAGCTTGACCGTGTGCTGTCGGGAGAGGAGCGCCACGCTGGTGTTTGGCTCAGAGTCGCTGCACGTGGCTGCTCTCGCTGGGTTTTGCTACACTGAGTAGCATGGGGAAAGGGTCCACGTCTCCAAGACTTGTCTGCACAAACCTAAGTGCCATGCTGTTGTTGGATGCTGAGAGGACACCTTCTCGAAGGATGTTTTCTACCTTAAGTTCAAGCACCATCTGAAAACCTTTTCTGCATGCTGCATGTACCAAGCTGTTCCTCCTCTTTTTTTGCAAACCCCTGCCCCTCTTTTGGGCCGACACAGGCTGCTGAGGACAGGCCCAGAAGCAGTCCAGTCCCAAGTCGGGGCCCTTGGCCTCCCCTGGAGGACGGGATTCTGAATAATGAGTTGCCTGCTGTGAGGGAAGCGGTGTCTTTACTTGAACACTCAGGACCTGCAGTGGAGGCCGTTGTTCCGTGCCCCTAAAATCCAGGAATGTGGGGACCAACAAAGCATTTCCAACTGTGAGAACACCACAGAAGTTCGCTCTGTAAGCCCACAGTGCCAAAACTCGGGAACGACGTGCCTAGGTGGGGTGACACGCGGTGACAGGAGGGCTGCAAGGCGTCCCTCTCATCAAGTGCCCTGCGCGTTTCCTCGGCCCTCAGGGGCCGGGGTCAGAGGTCCCTGGTCCTGCTGACAAATCGCACCTTGTCTGAACAGCTGTTCACCACCTTTTGCACATGGGTTCCGTGGCCTTGCACTAGTGTCTGAGTTCTGTAATGTCATTTTTTTACCCTTAATTCTCAACTCCCCACCCCTTCAAATGCCCCACGAAGCTGGTAGGACAGAGGTGCACTTTACAAAACTGGCACTTGCCGAGAGAGGGAGACAGCTCCACCCCTGCGCTCCTCTAACTGAAGCCGTCCTCTGCCTCGGAATGCAGATAGTTCTTATTTGCCAAAGAACAATGAATCGGGCCCAAAGATAAGTTACAGCATTTCATAAATTGGAACTGCAAACGCACAACTCGGGAGCTGTCGTCCGATTCCTCGAGCGATTTAAGCTGCGGAAGCAAGCGTGAGACTGGCGTGTCTGTCCTCCCCTGCAGCCCTGAGCTTTCCAAGCAGTTTCCCTTCTTTCCTTGTCCCGGTTGAAGGTCACCTTGATTTTACAAAAGAAAATGCTGCATAGGAAAAGTGAAATGCCTTTTATTCAAACGTGTTCTACCCACGTCACCCGTTACTGGGTACTTACTTCTCATGTTTGTTGTACATTCTACTCCTGTAATTACTGTGCGACCCTTTCAGCGTTGTAAAATCGTTCTGGAATTTGTGCCTGCTAGTTATGCAATAAACAGGCTCTCTAAGTGTCCTTGTGGTTGGTAATTCTGTGCTTCTCACAAATTAGCTGATGTTTCCAGACTCAAGTTGAAGTTCCGAGAAAGTTCTCTCCACAGAACCCCATCTTTGACACAGGATGGGACTGAGTGTGCTTCATGTCCTTCGGAGCTCCGTCAGGGCACAGGAATGACCACCTTTTCCTCTGTGCTGAGCAGATAGCGTTCTTAAAAGAAGTCCTACATCAAGGTACCCGTTCATGTATCTGATCACGATGTAGTTACTCCTTTCGCTTTTTAAATTCAGTGAAAGCCCCTCACCTCTTCTCAGCAGGTGAAAGAGTGCTGAAGTTGGTTTGGTCTCACAAGGCCACCAGTCTTTTACTTTATAGCCTGGCCTGTTGTGCAGGTTCACCCGGGCATCATGGTGTAGATTTATACTGGGCTCATTGGAGCCACTCACAGTCCCCAACAACTGTCCTTCAGACAGGCGACTTGGGGCACTGCTCCCCAGTGGAAGACGGGGTGGGCAGCATGCATGCCTTTCCATGTGAGCAGTCTGGGGAAGACAGAGGATCTTCTCTCTGTGATCCACCTGGTCTGAGGACCCAGCAGGGCGGACCCATCAGCTCACACCCGGGGACACCTCCTAGGGCGGGGTCCTCTGACTTGCCAGCATCAGAGCCCCTGCAGGGCTTGCTGGAACAATCTCCCATTCATCTCCGATTCAGCGGCTCTGGGGTGGGGCCTGGGAGTCTGCATTTGTGACAGGTTCTCCGGGACACTGCTGCTGCTGGTCCCGGCACCCCACCCCTGCCTGAGAGGCACTGCTGGAGCCCATTTTCAGGCTTCACCACCACCACCACCACCACCACGCAGCTCCTTGCTTTCTGCCTTTAACCCCGTTTTTATAATAATTATAATTAAAGCTTGTGTTTATCATCTATTTACTCTGGCCAGGGGCTGTGCCTTACGTGTATTAATTTGTTGAATCCTGACTACAGCGCTGCGAATATGAAGCAAGAAGAGTTGTTCCCATTTTACAGATGAGGAAGTTTACACTTGAGGAGGTTACTTCCGCATCCAGGGAGTTACTGTTAGTCTGCGTGTCTTCCTCTCAATCAGCCAAGATGGGTTTTCCTGACCCTGGCGGGGCCCGGGAGTGGCCTCTGCTTGGTGGAGAAGCCCTGAGGCGCTGCATTCCCTGAAGCTCTCCATTATGAGGTGATGTGAGACTATGTGAGTAAATAACTTGGTTGAATAAACAGGGCACAGTTATCTTGTGCCTGTAAGACGTGTCTCACCCTTGAGCCCCAGGTGTGGGGACCCCTCCAGTGTTTGAGTGGCTGCCTGGTAGGACCGTCCCCTGGCTCCCAAGCACTACAGCAGTGCTTTCCCACCCAGGGGGCTGCACAAAGGTAGCCTCACCACAGGGACGGCTAGGGGGCCATCTGAGGGTGACGTGCTGCGAGGTTGCCCAGGAGCTGGTCCCTGTGGTCCACGGATGCTGGGCAGAGGTGGCCACCCAGCCAGAACCAGAGCCACACTAGGTGGGACGGATTCCTTCACAGCTGTGACACGTGACACAGGGCACGTTATCAGCTCGCCACAGAGCAGGTCCCTGCGCAGGGGCCGCTGGGGACAGGAGACAGGTGGGGAAGTCCTGCTCCATCCTGTCCCCGCTGGCGTCTCCCTCCCCCACACCCAGGCCCTTGCTCTCAAGCACAGCTTTCCTGAGCACGCTGTCTGGACTTCTCAGCCTGGGCCCCACCCCAGTGCAGCTTCTCACCCAGATCCCTCTTCGCACCCCTCACCCTTTCCCAACACCGTCCCTTCTTGGGACTCATCTTCGTCTTCTCTCTCTTCCATCAGGCCCCTCAGCCCTCATAGCATTGCCCTCTGTATCCTGCCCCTCCCCTCGGCCAGCTCTCCACCTGCTTTCTCTTTCAGAACCCCAGGTAACTACCCCTCATCTGGCCTTGGCCTCTTCCCTTGGCTTAGTCCTGTAAACCATGTCTCTCTCCCGGGTCTTTCCACAGGAGCCCAGAACACATCACGGACAGGGAAGTTTTGAAATCTCACTTGGTCTTGGAATTTGTACCCCCCCCCCCAGCCGAGGACCTAAGATTGGCTCTTAGCCTCCCTGGGCCCACACCTTGCTCCCTGCTTCCCTGTTCCAGCCCTTTCCTCCCAGTACTCTTCCAGTACTCCCAGCCCACCCCACCCTGTTCCTTTCAGGCCAGAGGGGCTGAGTTCACCCTAGCACTCACTGTGTGCTGTCATGGGCTGAGTACAAGTTCATAAAGTAGCAACTGAAACCACCCCCCATTTTGCAGATGAGAAAACTGACGCTCGGCCCTCAGAGCCCAGTTAGTGGTGGTGGAGCCTGTCAGAGCACAGGACCTGTGTTCTTAACCGCGGGGCTCTTTCTGCACTTGGGACCATCCGGATGAGGGTTGGAGGAACGTGGCAGATGGCAGACACGGAAGCAGAGGGTGAGAAATGGCCACAACATGGACAGAGGTAAGGTGGGAGGGAGACACTCCTCTTGCCGGGGAGTGTCAGTGCAGGAAGGCCGGGAGGCTGGTCTCTGTGTGGTCCTCTGCCTGCCTTGGGGCTTAAAGGAACGTTGAACACCTGGGTGGCCGAGTTTGTGTTTTGTCTTCCAATTCCCTATTTTTGCTGCAAGTATTTCTCGTCTGTCTCAAATTGAGACACTTAGTAACCGCTGCTTGAGTGAGACTCTGATCTCTGAGTGGAGGGCATTGCCCAATTCAGCAGGCTCAACGGTTCAGGGACCTCACGGACCCACAGGGCACACAGACACAGCCAGGCCGGCCTTGTGGGAGGAACAGCCCTGTGCCTGCCACTGGAAGCAGGAGGGCCCCCTTCAGGGTGTGGGGCGGGGCATCTACCCATCCACCCCCAGACTCCAGGTTGCTCCCTGCACTCAGGGTGGAAGGAAGCCTGGCTCAGTGGTGGGGGGTGGAGTGTGGCCTGAGTTGACCTGCTTCTTGCTATTAAAACAGGGAGGAAGTCCTGCCCAAGTCCTGCAGCAGAGACAAGGGCACTGCCACCACCAGCAGGTTGTTTCCTGGGAGACTGGGAACGGGGGGGGGGTCCTCTTGGGAGAAAAAACAGGTCCATTTGAGCTTTGTGCTGTGTGCCTCTGTCTTACGCATCCTCCCATCTCCACATCTCACAGATAAAGAACTGGCCCAGAAAGGGGTCGCCCAGCCTCTCAGTAGTGGGGCATCTGGGCTAGAACCCAGGCCAGAGACCTGGCTCACATCACCTGGGGAGGGCCTGTGTGGTGAGGAGAGGCCTGGTTCTCAAAGGCTGGCACTCCTCAGGTTACACCGGGCAGAGGCTGAAGTAACTCTGCACAAGTGCCCAAAGAACCCCTTCTGTATCGTCAAGAATGCTCGTGGTAACTGTCAGCCAGGAGGTTCAGTCTGTCTCGGGAGGGCCAGGTCAGCAGCGCGAGTAACAGCGCCACGCAGCTCGGTAACCACACATGCGGGAGTTCCCACGCACCAGCGTTCTCCACCGTAAACGCTTCCAGGGAGAAACGGAAGTCAGCATTTAGGGGAAAAAGATGAACAAAATGAACAGAAAGGAGCTGCAGTCTTTCGGGTCAGATAATAACCAACATAAAGTGAGAAAAAAAAGGGCTAAAGCACCACAGAGACGAGACGGTATCACAACATAAAATGAGACTTTCTCGTCCTCATCGCTGTGATGTTGATTAGTTCTGCTGTCTACCTAGAGGTAACCCTGAATGTGCAACAGAAATTATGTCATACGTTTATACAAACACAATTTTTAAAAGAAAAAAATTAGAAGCCAAACAAATGATAGTGGATAAATAATATATTTACACAATAAACTATGTATAGCAATAAGAAATGATTGCAGCTATGTGTTTTAAAAAATCAAAACCATAAAATAACAAATTTAGGAGAACAGAACTCATACAATGTCTGCTCTCAGATCGCACTGGAATTAAACTAGAAAAATCAGTAACACACTTCTAAATAACCCAAGTCAAAGGAGAAGTCTCAAGAGAGATTTAAAAATATTTTAAACCAGATGAAAATGAAAACACAACTTATCAAAATGTGTGGGATGCAGTGAAAGCAGTGCTTAGAGGGAAATGTATAGAATTAAATGCATATGTTAGAAAAGAATAAAGATCTAAAATCAGTTTAAATTTCTACCTTACTAGGAAACTAGAAAAAGAGCAAATTAAATCCAAAGCAAACAATAAAAAAAGAAATAGTAAGAATTAGAGCAGAAATCAATGAAACTGAAAAGGAAATCAACAGAGAAAAATGAACAAAACCAAAAGATGGTTGAAAGATCAATAAATCAATAACCCTCTCGCCAGGCTAAGTAAAGAAGATACAAATTACTAATATCAGAAAGGAAGAGGGAACATCACTACACGGCCCATGGACATCAAAAGGATAATAAAAGAACACTTTGAACAACTCTGTGCCCACAGATTTGGTAACCTAGATGAAATGGACTTCCTTGAAAGACACAATCTGTCAAAATTCACACAAGAAGAAACAACCTGAGTAGGCCTACATCTATTAAATAAATTGAATCGATAATTAATAACCTTCCAAAATATAAAGCACCAGGCCCAGATGGGTTCACTGGTGAATTTTACCAAACATTTAAGGAAGAGAGTATACCGGGTCCCTACAATCTCTTCCAAAAGACTGAAGCAGAGGGAATACTTCCTAACCCATTCTATGAGGCCAGCATTACCCAAAAACCAAAACTAGATAAAGACATTACAAGAAAACTACAGACCAATGTCTCCAAAGAAACATAGATGCAAAAATCCTCAACAAAATATTAGCAAATTGAATCTAATAAAGTACAAAAAGAATTATACACCACAACCAAGTGAGATTTACCCCACATGTGTAAGACTGGTTCAACATTCAAATTTCAATTAATATAATCCATTACATTAGCAATCTGAAAAAGAAAAATTACATGACCATTATCAACAGATGCAGAAAAAGCATCTGAAGAAATCCAACAGCCAATTATGATAAAACTTCTCAGCAAATGAAGAACAGAGAGGAACTTTTCAACTCGATAAAAAAAAAAATCTATAAAACAAACAAGTTGTTAAAAACCACGTTTGCATCCTTTGAGGTAGATATTTTTTCCCTACAGTTCCCTTTTAGAACTTCTGAGTGATCATTAAGTCATAAAGTAAATACCCCTCTAAAATGAAGACATGACAATGTCAAACTCCCTAAAATAAAACTCCACGTGGCTTCATGGCTGAGTTTCGTCAGGGTCAGCAGGCACTGCTAAGGCTAATGCTTTTGAAGGCGTTATAATGATGCTCTGTATTTCATGAAGACAACACTACCTAAAAAAATACTCCTTATATCCATAATGAACTATGGATGTACTGAATGTATTTATTGCACCAATGGTTCCTTCGGTCCATGAGTTATGACTGGCTCTGGGCCTGCCAGTGCCGCCTGCTCACCTGTGTACTTTCTTGATTCCTGTCCCTGTTCTTGTTCAGTTGTGCACCTGCCCCAGGCCTAGCAGTGCATCCTCCCTGGAGAGAGCATGTGCTGAGTGAGCAAAAAGAGGAAAAGCTGTTCACATACAGAATGTATTAGGAGTGGCTTCAACACCATCTCTTCTAAATGAATTGAACTTTGTAGAAGCATCTGCTGCACAATGATCTATAAATCATTCGTTTTATAGTAAGTAGGAAAAGGCACTTAAGAATAATAAAACCAATATATGTGTATATACAGCCACAACACAGTCAACACACACGAGCTAAGAAGAGTATGTGCTATACCAGAAACAGTAGACGGTGGAAGCTCTAAATCTGGAAACAAAGGCTGAGGCTCAGTTGAGAGAGGGAAACATTTAAATATATTAGGGTAGAGAACCAGTATAATATAATCTTTAATGCTAATAAGATTACTCCCAGGCTTCAAAAACAAAAAACATGAAGAAATAAAAACTATTCAGTAAATATGTGAGTGCCTATTTAACAGGCATTCTGTCCACATCCATCCTATCCTGGAGCTCAAAACATGTATGATGGCCAGTAATTCTCTGTGGTTTACTTAGAAGAGACTCCAGTGGAAGTGAGAGGGGAGATAAGACCACTTTCAGAAGAAAAATGAATATAACCTAGAAAATGTGACCAGTCAGAGAAAATATCCAAACCTGTAAGAGGTGTGGATTTAATCAGTAAAAAACCTATCATTCTATGCAACCCACGTTGCAGCAATTAAGAAAAACAACAGTGACAAAGCTTGGAAGCAATGCCGTCAGTCTGGAACTTTATTTCACAATTAATGAACATCTGAAACGGGAAGTAAATACGAGCGTGCATAATGAAAGTGGTGCTCAGGGGATCACATCCAGAGAAATTTAAGACAAGGAAATGAAGAACAGATTAAGGATGCAGTATGCAGCTCAATTTGTTTCTACAGCACAATGGAAGTGAACAGCAATACTGCTTTTAGACTGGAGATTTTTTTAATAAACTCTGGTTTTTAAAAAACACAGCCCTGTAATTAGCTATAATTTACTGAGAGATGGAATCCTGAACACAGTATAATGAAAACTGAAACCTCAGAGGAAGAGTATGAAAAAAAATACAAGTCATAAAAATATGATTATTGCTGCAAGGAATTTACAGTTATTTATAGAGATTAATCTAGAACAATGTCACATTGATAGAACAGTGGGAAGAGAAATTTTTGGCTGATCTGTGGTTGAGTCTGATCTAGTTTCTTCAGGTTCGGCGCCCCTTCCTCTGGGCACATAAATCCAAGAAGGCTGCGTAGAGCTGAGCCCTTCCTCAGACACTGGAGGTCCAAGGCGTCCTGCCAGGTCAGCCAACCTGGTGACCTTCTGAGGCTCAGTTACATACATGTTGGGATCACTCCCCCGCCATGCAGTGCCCTATGGACATTCTACCAAAATGCTAATTTTTAAAGGAAGAAAGACTCATATCTCACCACCTTTCCAGAAAGCATCCATGGACCACATCAGACTGTCAGATTTCATCGTTCTTTTCTTCCAGAAAACCAGATGTGATCCTTTTGGGACCACTACATTAATAAACCCTGAAATTAATAAACTACACCAAGACCCACAAGTTTATTTTCAATAGAATAGTTAAATTTAAATGGCAATTTTTAAAAATCTAAAAATTTCTATCTCTGGCTGGAGTCCTCACTGGAGGCTGACCGTTAGGGGTAAACAACAGGAAACCACGTATCTGGTCATGGAACACAACTTGTAACTCCTGGCATTGATTTAGAATCTTCTGTTACTTATAAATATATTACAAGACTGTGACAGCACTGCCAGCATGTGAGTATAAAGCCCCTTTCTGGGATAAGAAGGGCACGAAAGGGCCTCTTGCTGGTGCGGCATATCCAGCACACCTTGAAGTCTGGCCAGACCCTCGCTCTGTTTAACTGTGAACCTGAACAGGCTCGGTGAGCTATGTTACAGTGACCCGAACCCGAGAACAGAACTTATAAAACTGTCTGGCAGCTGCATATCCGAGACCTCACCATCCTGGCTCTCTGTGCTTACGGTACCAACGGCGTCAGTTCCAAGCAATTCTGGGATGTCCGTAAGGCTGAGACAAGAAAGAAACCGTAAGACTGATTAGGTCAGGAGTCTCTGGAGCACTGGAAATTAATCTCATTTCAAGAGCTAAAAACACAGTATATATGGCTGTTTTCATTTACAGCTAAAATGTCTTTGACCCTAAGCCATAAATGAGGCACCTTATTTTTTTTTTTTTCAGCACCAGCCCTAAGTAACAATTCACATGGCTCTGGGAGACCTTGACCTGAGACATTTACTGATCCATGATTAATTAAGTTTAGAAAATGCATAAACAGCAAGGTCCTGTATAACACAGGGAACCATAATCAATATCCTGTAATAGACCATAATGGAAAAGAATATGAAAAAGAATACATTTATATATAGATATAGATATAGATATATAGAGATATATACACACACACACATATATATAATTGAATCACTGTGCTGTACACCAGAAACTAACACGATACTGTAAATCAACTATACTTCAATAAAAAATAGATAAATAAAAAGAAAAAAGAAGAAAAGAACATGCCATTCCCCGCACCTCAGGAGCTCCAGCCAGTCAGGACCCTGAGGTTCTGCAGCAGCCGGAGCACCTGCTCTGACTGTTCCATCAGCTTCCCAGACTGATCTGACCACGAGGGAGCCAGCCTCTGTCTGGCAGCGCTTTAGAGCAGCAAGGTGGCCAGAGGGGCCTGGTAAAGGAGGGGCAGAGGAGACACGCCCGCTGGGCCCTCAGTCAGTTCCCAGGTGCTTTACTCATCAGCTCCCTGGAAGCAGGGGTGACGGCCTTTGCTTCTCTGTGCTCCCCTGGCACCCTGCGCTGGGGGTCACTCAAGTACTTTGAGAGACAGGGAAAGAAGGAGAGAAGAGGTCCAGAGGTGCCGAGAGCAGGAGAGGAAGGGAACCAGGCCCTGTTCCCCTGGCCAGGCTCTGCCGTCTGGACAAATGGGACCCAGCACCACTGCGCCCCCAGCCCTCACCAGCCATGCCAAGGCCCTTCTTGGAGTGCCCTCTGTCCCCAGCAAGGTTGCCAGGCAGGCCGCTGAGCTGTCAGGATCACAGTCCCTGGGCTACAGAGGCAGGAGCCAGAGCAACCAAGGCCTGTTTGAGGCCCAACCAAGGACTGAAACAGACTCCATGTTGAGGTTCCCTACCAGCTGAGAAAGGAAGAAATACAAGAGAAGAGGAGCAGGAAAGAATCCGAGCTGCTGGGAAGCAGCGCCGAGCCCTGTGAACGGGCCTGGGAGAGCAGGGCTGGGCTGAGTGGCGCGGCGGCAGCGCCCATCCCCGGCCGGCTCCCTACCTTGGGCCGGTAGCCCTGCTGGGCCATCATCTTCGCCTCCTGCTGCAGCAGGGTATCCGTGAGCTGCTCTGCCTGCCTCGCCTCCTCTTCCTCCTCCTCCTCCTGCTGTTCCGCTTCCCACGCCTGCAGCTGGCGCTCTGCAACCTGGGCACCGAGGGCAAAGTCACCCCGGGACTGGCTACGGGGCAGAGCGCTGCCTCCAATCCGGAGGGACAGCTGGGGTCCCCCCGCTGGAGCATCAGCACTCAGCACAAGTGGTGGCGGTGCCCTCACAGGAAGGACATTCCCGGCACCAGAGAGGCTATGTGTGTGGTACTATGTACCTTATAAAAAGCTCTGGACGTGACTGCGTGTTTGGAAGATTCTTTTGTGTTGACTCTTAGGTACTCAATTGAATTAAAAAAGTCCCGGGGCCAGTGAGCCACCTGCCTGCAGATGCAGACAGGAGAGCAAGATGCGGGACGGTCACGGCAGCCTTGTTCCACCTGACACGGAGACCTGGAGTGGAGCTGGAGCTACAATCGGGAGGGGCACGGTTCCCGCGGGAAATAAAAAAAGGGATGCCCTGAGCCCCAAGATGTGGGCTTCCTGGACAAGGTCCAGGCCGTGGAGGAAGTCAGGGTCTCTGCGACCTGTGCCATGAGGACGCGGGAGCCCCGGCAGGGCCTGCTGCCCGCCGCTCTCATCCCCTCGTTGGGGCCGCCTCCCTGGCCCAGGGCTTAGCCCCACCTGGGCTCCCAGCTCCCGCTTCCTGGCCGACTTCAGTTCTTCGCTCTCCTCCTTCTCACGACGAGCTGACTCTCTTGCCTCCTCAAGATTTCGAATGAGTTGCTCCCTGTGTCTGAGGGATTCCTCTTGGGCCTGTCGGTTTTGTTCAATCTTCTCCTGTATTTGTTGTTGTCTCCCTGTCAGAACCTAGCCTCAGCAGAAAGAAAAGGGGAGGGTGTCAGTTAGACTTTAACAGGTGCCTGTTCTACCAGCTGTGGACAGTCTGCAGCTGCAGCGACACCGAGACGCAGCCTAGTCCTCAGCCTCAGGCCCGGACGCACCAGACGAAGGCAAGCCAGGCTACAGGATCAGCCCAAGCACCATCAGCCACGTCCCCACCACGCCCGTCACACACAGGGTGTGCGCGGACTGTGTGCGCGGAGACGCCGAGCACCAGAGGTGAGAGCAGGCGGGGCAGAGCTCCCTCCCGAGGGCGCACGCACAGCTCTCCTATCAGTGAGTACTAGAGAAAGAAAGAAACCACAAGCCACGCAGATGACCAGAGGTAGAGTCTGGGTCACCCTGCCAACCTTGTGGATGTAAACTTCCTGCTCAGAGCAGCTGAAACCTGCTGTGTTTGAGACTTGGCCACAGCACAAGATCACATCCAGATCAGGGTCAGGACTTGGGAACTAGGAACAGTGGGAGGCCACCTGCCATAACCAACAGTCATGCTCTCCAGAGGGGGCATGTAACATGTCCACGATGAGGAGGAACATTTTAAATGAGGGGGAATCAGAAGATGCTCAGGAATATCTGGTATTCATGTAAGGAAGAAGCATCAGTTGGGGCCTGATTTCCCACGGATTCTAAAATGTAGCATGCTGGCCTGCAGAATATAATTCCCATTTTAACCCACCTTAAGATAACTTTCCTTAAAAACTAAAAATAGTTACCAAATGATTCAGCAATTCCATTCCTGCACATTTATCTGGAGAAAACCCGAATTTGAAAAGATACATGCACCCCAATGTTCACAGCAGCATTATTTACAACAGCCAAGACATGGAAGCAACTTAAATGTCCACTGACAGATGACAGGATACAGAAATTATGGTGTGTGTGTATATATATGTATCTATACAATGAAATACCACTCAGCCATTAAAAAAGAATGAAATAATGCCATTTACAGCAAATGGACCTAGATGTTACCATGCTAAGCAAAGTAAGTCAGACAGAGAAAGACAAATATATCACTTATATGTAGAATCTTAGAAAAATGACACAAATGAACTTATTTACAAAACAGAAACAGACTCACAGACATAGAAAATAAACTTACGGTTACCAAAGGGGAAGAGGGGGTGGGGAAGGATAAATTAAGAGTTTGCATTTAGCAGATACAAACTACTACATATAAAATAAACAAAGTCCGGCTGTACAGTACAGGGAACTATGTTCAATAGCTTGTAATAACCTATAATGACAAAGTACATATACACGTATAACTGAAGCGCTATGCTGTCCACCATGGAAACAGCAGCACAGAAGGAAATGAACAGTGGCTATGCGGGTGATGGGAGTCTGGGTGACTTTTTTTTGTTTTTACTTTTCTATACTGAATTCTTTTTAATAAGCTTGTATTACTTTTATAATGATACTAAAAGTCTACTAAAAGTAACCAGAGGGGACTCAGTTCCCAGGACATCTGGCAGGGTCGGCAGTGGCTGCTAACCCCCCGGGCCCCCACCCCAGGCTGGCCCACGTCCCTTGCAGCCGGGACCATTACCTCGCTCATCAGCCGGTCTCGAGCGCTCCTCTCACGGGCCCACTCTGCCTCTCTCTTCTCCCACATTTCCTTGGCCTCCTCCCTAGGGAGACACGGAGCGGATGACAGCAGGCTCCTTACCACCACCGACGGCAGAAGACAACCAAAGAACCAACAGGGCTGCAGAGCACCAGGTCGCACACGCCTCTGCGGGGCCAGCCTTCACACAGGCCTTCAGCAGACCCCAGTTAAGGACAGTGTCACAGCATCACTGTCGTAAGTACTTTAAGTTTCCTTTTTTCAAACTCCACCTCCTTACAGAAAGCACTTGTGATGACGGGCACCCGGGACATTTAAACACTGAACTGACTGAAACCATCGGGACTCTGGGGAGGAGGAGGGCACTGCAGGTGCCTGAGCTCTGTCACCACGTTCCTGGGGTCACTCTAGCTCACCCTGTGACCTGGGGCAAGTGAGTGACCACCTCAAGTCCCCGTGACCCAAGAACTCTGTGACCCTAGCACTTGGCTGGATGTCAGGATTAAACCGGATGAGGACAGTTAAGAACTGAGCACGGTGTCTGGCACACAGTAAGTGCTCAGCAAATGTTACCTGTTACCCCATTACTTCAATCTAATTTTTAGGATCTAGATCTATTTACATAGACCCAAGAAGCATTCAACATCTCTAAGATCTATAAAAATTTCCTTTCGAATTTCTAAGATTTCAGATGCACAGATCCTTACTCTAAGCCCTAACAGCTTCCACCTGACATAACCCGAGGGAGACACCCCGCAAGCCAGGTCCATTAGCAAGGATGTGCGCCTCACGAATGATGGGCCAGATGGACCAAGTAACAAGGTCAGGCGTTTTAACAACAGCAGGCGACCCTCATGGCGACCTGCTGACCTGCAGGGATCCAGGTACCAGAGGAGAGGCCAGGACGCCACCTCTCACCTCAGCAGCGTCTGCAGCTCTGCCTCCCGCGCCCTCTCCAGCTGCAGCTGCTCCTCGATGACCTGCTTCATCCACGCCACGTCGGCCAGGGCCTGCTCCCGCCGGGCAAGGTGTGCGCGCTGGTTCTCGTCCTCCTCCTCCAGCAGCGCCTGCAGGATGCGCCTGTCCGCCTCCTGGAGGAAGAGGAGGAAGTGCCGTGGGCCGGATGCCCGGCCCCACAGGCAGCGCCACTTTATGCCCCTGCCAGCTCCTCTCCTGTCTGGGACTGACTGATCAGTCGATTGACTGGCACTGAAAACAGGCATTCTTGATGCTTCCTAATGCTCTCCATACAGACGGGAGGACGTGGGCTGCTTCCAGAGCTGCCCGGGTATGATCGCTTAGGGACGGTTTAGGTGCCACAGGGGCCCAGGAGCTCCTCTCTGCCCACAGGGAGAGACCCTCTGCCAGCACACGCATGTCCCTGCCCCTGGACACGTCTGGGAGCACAGCTTTTCAGAACAGAATCCGGCAGCAATCCCACAGGCTGCACAAAATGCTCACTGAGCTGCCCTGTAAGAGGGAAGCCGGCCAGGTGAAGGGCCACTCTCCTGTCCGGTCTCACTGAGGGAGCCCGTCAGAACAGCTGCCAAGAATACCGAACAGCTAGTCAAAAAGAACAAACTTGATCTAAGAACACGGGTCCTAAAGGCTAAGGTCTACCGTTAGGTAGATATGCTGGACACTGCCGCTTCCAGCACAGTTAAAAACAAACCAAAAAATCCCCCAAACTCACCGCCTCCGTGTATGCGTGTGCGTGTAAATACAGTTGACTCTTCAACAACGTGGGTCTGAACAGTGTGGGTCCACTTACAGGTTTTTTCCATTAAGTACAGCACTTGTGTTTTCATTTTACAGATCTTTAAACTAACCAAATGTGGAGAAAAGAGTCTGATTAGAGACTGTAGTATGTGGACTCAAATGAACTGGGGTTTGAGTCCTGATTCTGACCGAGCCGTTTCAGCTCCCTGCTCCTGGGTGAGATATTTATCAGTTCCTTTGTGTCTGAGGCAGAGATGGCAGAACCAGGATTTCCGACTGCTGGGGGAACAGGGGAGCTTAGCCCCCATGTGGTTCAAGAGTCAACTGTATATCCAGAAAGACGCACACCCAGACAGACAGCTCTGGGGAGGGGCCTGGACTGCGGGCGCTGCTGGTCAACGGGGAATCTCACTTAGTGTTTTCTTACGAGAACACGCTCATTACTGAGCAATGGAAAACAGTTTTCAAAGATGGAAGAAACCCCAGGCTGTCACTTCAGACTCACCAATTCCTCTTGGATCTGCTGTGTACGTCTGTTGAGTTGCACGTTATACTGATGTCTCAAAAAGCGTCTAGAAATGAGAAAATACGGTTTGCCTTCAGTGTTTCATAAAGAATTAAACAGGTTAGATGGCTACTTTCTATAGACTGTATCCCTCCTGGCTTCAGGGACACCAGTGCAAGTCTGAGGAAGGGAGAGGCCAGCCCGCCGGGGAAGCGCAGGCGAGGGGCTGGGGGCCCTTCCCACACGCACCCCAGCTCTGCCTTCTGCCGCAGGGCCGCCATCTGCTTCCTCTCTTCCTCCAGCCTCTCCAGCTCCCAGCGCTGCTTCAGCAGATTCTCCTGCTCCTTCTTCAGTTTCGTAGCCTGTGGTTGTGAGACAGTAAACCCAGTTACGCTCCTCAGACTCACAGCTTCCTCCATCCCTCCTCTCCATCTGCAGCTGCCGTGACACGACAGGACGACCTGGCCACCTGGTGCTCAGAACCCCCTCCCGCCTCCGGGGCCCTGAGGCCTTTCCCAGCCCCACCAACAAGGCTGAGCCCCCTGCTCGAGCTCCCACAGGACCCTGCACGGTCCACGCCTTACTGTGATTAACATCTGTCTCCCCTGACACAGCTTCCACCATGAAGGCCAGGACTGTGGGCCTTGCTCCCAGCAGCACCTCGAGCAGCCATCCCAGGGCTCAGCACCTGGAGTAAGATCTAGTTCTTGGATCATTCAGGCCTGGGGAAGGGGTGAGGGGGTGCTCCCCTCGCCCAACTGGGAAGATCCAGCTCCTCAGAGAAACTGCACAGCACTCTCAAAACAGCCTCCTGGACCAAAGAGCCTCATGGCTTGTGCCCTGGCACCCACAACCTGCTGCCGGGAGAGCTGAGCGCCAGATCGTCAGCCTGGGTGTGGTCTACTTAGTGCACTTACAGCCCAAGCTCTAAGGAGGCTCTCAGACAGCAGGTCCCTATGCACGCCTGAGAGGACAGGTGCTCTCTCCTGAGCGTTCACGCTGCAGAACCTGGGCACACGAGCTGGGAGCACAGAAGGACCACACGGAGGGGATGCACGTCAGGAGGGGGAGCCCAGGGTCGGTCCACTTCTCAGAACCACCTCCCCGACAGGATCTCTGTTTAGAGCAGCTTTCTAAGTGCCCACTTGTAACAAGCAGCAGCTGCAGGCGAGGCCCTGGTGGCCGGGCTGGCCCTTACCTCCATCTCCTTCACCTTCAGCTCCTCCATCTGCTGGCGCAGCGCCTCCGCCTGCAGCTTCTCCTCCAGCTGCCTCCTCTCCTCCTCGGCTCTCATCCGTTCCAGCGCTTCCCTCCGGGCCGTCTCGTACTCATTTTCATACTGCTTTTCCTCTTCCTCTTTGGCAGTGTCTTGCTGCATGGGGCCAAAGGAACCAGGGGTCAGTGTCTGCAGCACGGAGTCAGTAAAGATCCAGGGCCCGGTCCTCATTCCCACGCGTCCACACCCAAGGAGGCCATGCCACATGTAAGCTGTGTGATCTGGTGAGGGTGCATCTTCCTGGGCTCGGTTCTCCCTGGGGGAAGCATGGGAGTGGTGCTGCCCTCAGAGACGAGGCTGGGCGGGCGCTCAGCACAATGCCTGGCACAGAGGAGGGACTCGAGAACCCCGGGGTCCCTTCCCCTCCCACAAGTCAACAAGACACTTTCCAAAGTGAACCCAGAGGCAAAGCGGTGGGTCCATGGAGGTGTGGACTTTTATGCCCAGAGGCTGCTGTAAACCAGTGATGTAACCTCTATGATGTAAATTACACCAAAAGAGGGTGCCAGCAACAAAAACCACCTTAAGGATGCATGTTCCATCTAACATCGACCAGCCCTGGTCCTCTGGTCTCACCCTGCCCCGGGAGTGATCACATAGGATTCTAGTCTGTGTAAGAGCAACAAACATTCAGTTTTAACGTGTTAAGTAAACGGAGAAAAAGTCTATTCCTGGATTGGAGTTATTAACACCAAAACAAGGAACAAATTCAAGGACATGTCTCCCACTACAGCACGTGGGACTATTGCCAGAGCCATATACCACACCTGTCTTTTTTCTTCTTTCTGTGTTTCCCAGGAGTTTATCACATGCTTCCTGTGAAGGTCTAGTTCAATCTGAGGATGAGAAGAGGGAGAACATTAGCTTCCTCACTGGTTCATCAGACAGACACTCACTGCAGCGCACAGCACCAAGCCCTCAAGTGCGGCCCAGGTGTCTTACAAGGAGGTACATGTAAGACCCAACATGACACAGTCTGAATGCAAGTCAATTAGGAAAGCAAAGGACCAGGCAATTCTAAACACACTGAGTTGGAACAAAGTAGCAGAAGCTTCTCCTGGTAGCCTTGGGGCTAAGCGGAAACAGGTCAGCAGACACTGACATAGAAATCCAATCTCAAAGGCCACCCCCTTTGGTCTAAAGCCTGCCAGGCCCCGGGGCAGCAGGAGCTGGGTGAGGAGCAGACTCAACCTTTGGCCTGGCTCTCCAGCACTTCCTCTGCAAAGCGGCAGCTGTAAAAACATGCACGCTTTGCATCAAGAGATGCAACAAATTTGGGGTATTACAAAGAGATTTGGACTTAAACAAATTTTTGGATCAGAAAATGAATTGCAACACGGTCTAAAAGCTTTTGTTTGGGAAATTGTTTACGGAAGTTTTAAATTTCTTTCTCAACTTAAAAATGTAAACATTTGCAACTAACTTGAATGTTCTGAATATAAACATCTGCATACATGACTTTAGAGCATCCAATGAAATCGACAAATGGCAGGGGACAGGCGTCGTCCCCTGGTTTACTGCTATCACTTGTGCCTGGCAATTTCTCTGCGTAATTATAGATACATCAGTTAACACCACCAAACAGATACACAAATTGTGGACTGAAGTAAATGAATGATACTCGTCATGGGATTCTCAAGGACTGGTCCCCCTTCCTCCTGCCACCCCAGTTCAGACCCTGACTGTCACTCACCTGGGCTGCAGTGGCAACCCCTTAATTGACAGCCCCCCTTCCTGCCCACCTCAACACTGCTGCTGAAACTGCTGCTCCCCAAAATTCAGCTGGGACCCTGCTACACCTCTGCTTAAAATCACAAAGGCACTCCCCAGTGCTTCCAGAGGATGGCCACACAAGGCCATCCAGGGTGGCCCTGTCTGCCTGCCCAGCCTCAGCTCTTGGTGTTCCCCCACCCTATCTAATATCCCAACCTCCCAGCCACTTGTAGCTTCTAAACAACCGAATGAAACCAATCTGATGGGGTGCTTTTCTCAAAGTGGCTGCAGTGTTCTGTTTCACCCCAGCACAAGATGCAAGTCTGAAAACAAGACGGGAAACATGATTTCATCTACTTAGGCAAATCAACAAAAAGAACTCCTTGGTTTTTACCTCTCGAAGTTTGGGGTCGTTCTTTTTCCAGTGTTCATACAAAAGTTGTTCAGCAATCTGTCAAGAAAACACAAAGAGGGAAGCCTGATGTTGCTTTTCCAATCCGCTGACATTCTGGATACCCCAACAGTGGAGGTCAGCTCAGGCTAAGAGCCCCTCCACCGGCACGCCGTCCGTGCACCTGCCCTGCAGACCGCCCTTGTGCCTCACACCCACTGCGCTGGGAGCCAGACGCCTGACTGGAACCGCACAACACCGACAAATGACTCTTACACTAGTGACGATGCTACTGATGGGTCCAAAATGCTAAAGATCTGTATCAAAATACACAGCAGGCTTAAAAACACAGACGGGGGCTCACCATCACGCAACAACTACTTTGGAAGATAAGATATACCCGTCCCAGCCCTTTGTGGGACCACAGAACTAGAATAAGAAAAAGGACTCAGATGTGATGATTTAAGGGGCCATAGAGAATAGAGATGACTCATGGAAATGAAGAAATCAGAGTAAGCGCTTTTCCTTGCTGGCTATGGAGTGAACTGACGTCTTGTCAGCTCAGAGTGCCCAAGGGTGACCCCACACAGCATCCCTGACAGGCCGGGGACACCTGCTCCGCAAAGTTACCAGTTTCCTTTGCTCTTCTCGGGCCGACTTCAGATTCTCATGCCGCTCCCGGATTCTTCTTTCCCTCAAGTTCATGCTCAGCCTCAGCTCCTCCAGTTCTCGGGCCAGCAGGTCCTGCTCCTCCAGCAGAAGCTGCCTAAGTCTCTGCCGTCGGGCCTCTAGACGCCTCCTCCCCTCCTCCTTCATCTTCTCCCTCTGGTAGGCGTGCATGCTGGGGGAGAAGGAGCCACCATAAACCAGCCGTGAAGCAGCCACATGGGGAACGCAACGCTCTGCCTTGTGGGTGAAAGAGGCTGAGGTGGACATAACCTGGTGACGTGGGAAGGTGTCCTCTGGCCAAAGTGAAGAGAGCAGGTGGTGGAGCACTGTGCATAACAGAATCTTATTTTTGCAATAAGAAACATATAGTGGGCTTATATATGCATATGATAAGAGTGCTAGCTAATATTATTTGAGCAGTTACCACATACCAGGTACTACATACATGGACGGTGTTATATTAATCACCACAGAAATCCTATAAAGTAATTCTGTTTCAGCCCCATTTCCCTGATGAGGAAACTGAGGCTCATTCATATAGTAGGTGTCCATCTAGGTCTGTCTGACTCCAAAACCTATTTTTTTTTAACTTTTTGTTTTAGGGGAAGAGTAATTTGATTGATTGATTGATTGATTCTAATGGCTGATTGAACCCAGGACCTCGTGCATGCTAGGAATGCATTCTACCACTGAGCTATCCACCCCCCTCAAAGCCTATGCTTTTAACTTCCATGTTTTCACATGTATTTCTATACAGATGGGCATATATGTGTAAATATATTCACACACAAACACAAATGGGGAGAAGTATGGGAGGATATGCATCAAACTGTTAATTGTGGTTCTCTCCTGGGGATTTGGGGTTACAAGGAGACTTCCAGATTCTACATGCATTTTTTGTCGTTTTATGTTTTTTCAGCGTAAATGTGTTACTTCACTGATGATCTTTTTTTCAATTTCCAGTTGGAAAAACATCCACCGTGCAGATAATCTGCACGGTCCCGCAAATCCCTTGAGACCGCATGCTGGCCAGCCACACTCCCCCAGGTCTTTAAGGTCACATCTGATCAGCAAGTGGCCCTTCAGCTCTCACCAGTCGTGGTCACCACACAGTTACCTCCGCTGGTAGGAGGTCTTGGAGCTCCATTCTGCTTGTTTGGAGCTGCAGATGTCCGACACCTTGAAGTAGCGGCTATTCTGATCCCACTGCTGCCGCAGCCGGGCCTCCTGCTCTCGGTGTCGCTGTCGCGCTGCCTGCTGATCCAGGAGCCTCCAGCTGCACCAGGAGGAGGGCAGTGTGGGGAGTGCCATCTGAGGAGACCAGCAGTGGAAAAAAAGGTAGCCTGCTGCAACCTGTCATCCCTTTAATGCACGGGCCTCACCCCCTGGGTGTACATTGGAATCGCCTGGTAGAACCTGGGCCCCCCTCCAAACCAACTAAATCAAAAAAGTCTTAGTGTGAACCTCCAGGCATCAGAATTTAAAAAATGACTTGCCAACAGAGCGGCAAATCATCCACTTTAGTAAACCTGGACTGCACCCAGCTGTGAGCCAGAAGTCATCAAGGGCCCTGCACTGCAGACAGACAGGAAACCAGTCCTGGCAATGCTCGACAAGCACACTGGGGACTTCTATGTTCTGCATAAAGTAACGGAGATAGTTAATTTACAGAGTATGTATATGTACCAAGTTCTCCACATATATGACTTTCTTCATTGTTACGATCACACCATTATTTATTTGGCCAGTGAGGAACCGTTAAGTTCAAAGAGGTAAAAGGACTTGCTAGAAATCACAAAGCCAGGAAGTAAAGGAAATTTGTAAGAGCTGGGATCCTAAATCATGCCAGTCTGAGTTGAGGGCCCAGGCTTTCTGCAAGAGGCTGCCTGTTGGGACCAACATGCCCTGGCTTTGACAACCCCCAGAGAGGGGCCCAAGCCAGGTGTCACAGCTGGAAGTGTTCTGGGTTAGCGTGGACGGAGCTCCTTCATTTTACAGATGGAGAAGCTACCACCTGGAGAGCAAAGTTGATTTGCACAAATCAAAGAGCAATCTGGGGACACCACTGGAGACTTGAAAGCAGTCTCACTCCAGACACCTTTTCCCCTCGTCCCAAAGCTGTCCCCACATGCAGGGTCTTCACAGTGCCCGGCTATGACAGGGTTTAAGGAGATTTTTTTGAATAAGCAAACAGACCTGGGCCCACACCAAGTCTCAAACTCAGAGGAAAACAATCTGCGTCTACGGACCAGCTGAGCCTGAGGCTGCCAGTTTATGACCTGTCTTCAGACTGTGGCAAGCTTGACAAACTCTGTTCCTTGCCCTGTGAGCCGCCCGAGGATGAATCTTTGCACTTAAGTCAAGACACTTAAGATTCTGGTCCCGGATGGGCCACCCACCAGCTGGGCTGCTCCTTGAACAAGTCGCATCCTTCCCTCAGCCTCAACATGCAAATATGACGACGGAAACGGTTGCAGACAAAAGTGTCCGCCTCAGAGCGCGCCGGGAGCAGAGTGAGGACGAGAGCCGAACGCCCAGGCGCCCTGCCCTCGCGTCCCGGGACGGCGGGCGCGCTTCCCGCCAGCGCGGGGCCGCCTGCGGCGGCTTTCTGCTCCTCCGGGCCCCAGCGTCGGCTCCTGGCCGATCCCAAAGCCCCGACTCACATTTCTCTGCGCCCCGGAGTTTCCGAAGACTGCTGCAACCCGTGATCCCGCAGACTTCCAGCAAGACCTGCTTGGCTCGCTGGGCTTCGGGGAGCTATGCACCTACGTCCGCCGTTTCACCGCTCGTTGCCGGGGCAACGGGCCGACGACGGAGCGCCGCGAGGGCCAAGCCTCCTCCAGCGCGATTACTAGACGCACAGAGAGGAAAAAGGAGGCTGTGGGTTTTTTCTCTGGCGCCCCCGTGTGGTGGGCGGGAGCTCAACTGCAAACATTACTAGTCCAGGAAACAGAGAAGGAAAGAGGAAAAGAATCGTTCACTACACGACATTCAGGATTGTGGTTACCTGGCGGGGATGAACGTGAGGAAGGAGGAGGGAGGCGGAGTCAGTGGGATATTATAAGCCTGGCTGCACACCAGAATCACCTGGGAACCTCTTAAAAATCCAGGTGCCCTGGGTAGGGAGGGTATGTCTCAGCGGTAGAGCTGCCTGCTTAGAGTGAGGTCTTGGGTTCAATCCCCAGTGCCACCCTTAAAAATAAACAAATAAACCTAATTAACAGCCCCCGCCTCGGGGAAAAAATCCAGATGCCCAAACCAAACTCCGGACAAATCCCATCGGGCTCCCAGAGGGTATCAGTGGTTGTCAAGCTCCCCAGGTGCGTTTGTGCTTGGTAAACCAACCGTTGGTATGAGTAGGTACAAGTTATTGGTAACTTTCTAAGGTGGTGGTGGGGCCAAGGGTGATCATTCTGTTTGTGTGTTTAATAACTCACATGTGTCCCATGTATTATTTGAGGTATCAACTATTACATTAAACAAGCAAATAAAAATATTCACTCTTTCATTCATGGTCTTTCCATTTTCCCATCCTTGTCTTCATTTATTCATTCCTTCATTCCTTTATTCATTTCTGTATTTTTCCTGGATGCAGTATAATGTCCTGTTGAACCTCATAGCCTCTCTTCCAGCCATGCTTGTTGTGTGGTCTTGGATGGGTCACTTCATCACACTGTGCCTCAGCACTCCTGTCTGTGAAATGAAAATGTTAAAGTAATTAAACAGGAGGCTATTAGACTGGGAGGCTCTGACACATCAGTGGCCCATGCAAGCAAATTGAAACCCAGGCCCAGAGCGCTCTAATTCGAGAAAATGGAACTTACCAATCCCAGACAACCAGTAACTAGGCTTCCCCAAGCAAGACAACCATGTAAGCTATAGCCCACTTTTCTATAAAAACCTCTCCTAGGTCCTGCTGGTAGAGCAGTCCTGATCACCTGCCTGATTCAAATCAATACGTTTTGAAAATTTTACTGTGCCTCAATTTTATCTTTAAGCGAGAATTCTATCAATGCTGCTTTCTAGATTTGCCCCTGTGAGACGAAATGAAGGTTTCAGTGGAGGGCGCCCAGAAAGCAGAGCACCTGGTGCATCTCAGGTAAGCACGCCCTCTCACATCTCTCTTTTTTTGACACCTGTTTACTCAGCATCTGCCCTGCCCCAGGCATGAGGTTCCCCAGGGTTACCTACTCTGATTGGTCCCAAACTCTTTGGCCAAGCTCACGGCCGCTCTTCCATATTATGTTCCCAGTGGCAAGGGGAAGCAGCTACCCTCTCTGATCAGCCCAGCCAGAGCTCCCATGCAACAGAAGAGCCCAATAAATAAATTCTCTTTGGAGGGCCTCCTTGAGTGTGGGAGGAACTTCAGACATAAGTGAATTGTGTTGTAGGAGACTTGCCTTCAGGTTCTGATTTTGTGCCTCTTGGGCAAGGGCTTTCCACAGTCTGGGCCTCAGTTGCCTCATCTGTATCATGACCTTAAAGGACCAAACAGGCCACACTAATGGGATCGAGGGCCTAGGGCTTGACTGGCCTGGTGCTGAAAACCTGGGGCACCAGGCCGTAGCCTCTGGGCCTCCTCTGGGATGGCACTTGCCCGAGGAATCCTAGCCTGAGGTGGTAGAGTCAGGGCTTGAACCCAACTCTGTCCGATTCCAGGGCCTCTGTGCAGCACCAAGGGGTAGGGATCATCACCTTCCCTGCTGTGGTTCCCACGCCTGGCACAGAGCAGGCACTTAATAAATATTCGCCGAGAATGAATGAGTAGATGCCCCCCGACTTTGAGTTCTTTCATTTTCTCCAAAAGAAAAAGGGAAAGATGGTGTTGAAAGAAGGCAAAAAGACCAAAAGGAATTAACGTTGTTGAAATACCTACCATGTGCCAGATGCTTTTAGATGTATTTTCTTGTTTAAGCTTCCCTTCAACACGTGAGGTTCCTGCTCCCATTTTGCAGATGAGGAAACTGAGACTCTGAGAGGTCAAGCAACTCTCTGGAGGTCACACAGCAAGGACATTGAGAGCCAGGATGTACACCCAACTCCAGAGCTTGTGAACCTCTTTCTAGTCTGCTTTTCCGGGAGTTTGTGGTTTACAGGTGTAGCTCTTGAGTTTTGGGTTTGTTTGATTTTTTTTTTTCCCATGGAGGTACTAGGGGTTGAACCCAGGACCTCACACATGTGCTATACTGCTGAGCTGTACCCCACCATACCCCAGCAAGGATGCTCTTAAAGGAGGCCAACGATGTGGACCAGCTGGGCTATGTAAAGAGTTCAGCCGTCTGAAATATTCGTGACAGGTTGTTGACCATGGCCCACAGAGGGTTAGGAGGGGAGGCCCTGAAAGGCAACCGTTGTGGTTGACGCTGCGCACACCGGGCCCTGGGCCAGCACGCTGTTCTTAGGGCTGTTCTTGGACTTTCTTTGGGTGTCCTGGCACAGGAGGAGAAAACAGGAGTGGGGAGACGGCATGACAATGGGGAAGCAACTCCCCATTAACTGAAATGTGACAGTGCTGAGGGCCTCGCAATGCCCTCACTTAATTAGCAGGTGGCGTTGCCAAGTCACATATATTTATCTATGCTGGGTTTTCACAGCGTTTCAACATCAACCACCCTGGTTTCTGTTTCATTCCTGGGCTGGTCTCCCCACCCTCCCTGAAGACAAGGTTGCAGAAGTAGACGATGAGCTCAAAGGCCCTGGGGCTATGGGGCTGCCTCTCAGAGCCCCAGTTTCATGTTTTAGTAACAATAACAACAGGAATAATAATAACAAGGGAGGTTAGGGATCTGTGAGGGAAAAAAGGGTGAAAGGCTTTTTCACCCAAAACAGTGGCTATCCCTAGAGGCCAGAACTAGGGGTGATTATTAATTTTTATGTCTCGCTGGGTTTTTAATTTTACCATGGTCACTGTTATTTCTGGAGTGTTATTAAAAATAAAGCATCAGTTGGTTAACTATAAAATCCTGCATTTCCCTCCTGCTTTATACTTTATGAGTTACTTTCAGTGCGTGAGTAGCTCTCAACCCAGGCAGTTCGGAATCACCTAGAGAGCTTTTTAAAAATCCTGACAATTATCCCCTGAGACAGAGGTTCTGATTCCATTGGTCAGGGTTGGGGCCCGAACATCTGTATTTTTTTAAACTTTAAAGATTTCAGGATAGTTTTAGATTTACAATAAAATTACAAAGATAGTACAGAGTTTCCTTAGACTTTGCACCAGTCTCCCCTGATAATTAACGTCTTATTATTTCATCTTATGACAGCTAATGAACTCCCCTGTAATTAACATCTTATGAACATTGCATATGTCTGTAGGACAGGCATCTGGCATGGGCCCCCAGGGTTCAGTTCAAGGTGTCAACAAAACTGCATTCCTTTCTGGAGGCTTCAGGGGAGAGGCGGTCTCTTTGCCTTTTGCTGCTTCTCGAGCTGGCCACAGTCCTTGGCTCACAGCCCCTTCCTCTGTCTTCAAAGCCAGCAGCATAGCATCTCCCTCTGACCATTCCTCCGTAGTCACATCTCCTTTTGATTGTAATTGAGGAAGCTTGTTCACTTTTAAGGATTCAGGCACTCACCTGGATAATTCAGGATGGTCTCCCATCTCGAGGTTTTTAACCTTAATCACACCTGCCAAGTCCCTTCCGCCTTGGAAGGGAACATATCCTCAGGCCCTGGGATTAGGGGGTGGACATCATTCCACCTTCCACAGAGGGGAGGGGGACATGACCTGTTAGTTATCGTCACTCAATTTTGATGTTGTTGTTGTTGTTTTAATCTGGCTGCTGCCATATCACTTACTCCTCTGAGCGCTCCTGGCCTACAGCCCTCCCCTCATCCCTCCCAGTGTGAAGGTCATTGCCCTGCAAGAACACTGAGCAGGAAAGCCTGCCCTCTTCAGGTGTGGCCGGGACCGCCCATCACACCAGGTGAGCTCATCAGGACTTAATTCTAACAGACCTGCTCCAGTGTGCAGAGGAGGCTGGAAAATGGAACTCTGCTTCAGAACCTTCCATTCAGAGCCCTCCGGGAGCTCCGCCTGCTTCCGTCTGCTGGACCACATTGATCTGATGGAACGGCACCAAACATTTTTGGGGGTTCGTGTTATTTTTCAAGGCCAGCCCGATGTGAATGAAGAAGGCTCTGATGGCGCTGAACTATTTCGTATCTCTGAGCTTCAGTTTTCTCACCTGTACAATGGGGATATGATTAACAACTGCCTTAACCCAGTGCTGGGCGCAGGATTAGCCCTTGATGCAGGATAACTACTGGTGTCATAATTGCCCAGGTGCTGACAGTTTACTGCATAGTAACCCCCTTGACATGCTGGACTTAGTTGCCTTTCTCCTCAAGGAGGGAAGAAATTGTTACAGGCAGACCTCAGATATTGCGGATTTGATTCCAGAGCACCGCAGTAAAGCAAATATCACAATAAGTGAGTCGAATGAATTTCTCGGTTTCCTAGTGCATATGTAATTTATATTTTCACTATACTGTAGTCTATTGAGTGTGCAGTAGAATTATGTCTAAACAAAGAATACACACACCTTAATTAAAAAATATTTTATTTGGGGGTTATAGCTCAGTGGTAGAGTGCATGCTTAGCATGCACAAGATCCTGGGTTCAATCTCCAGAACTTCCATCAATCCGAATCAATTAATAAATTTAATTACCTCCCTCCAGAAAAGACCAATAAAAAACTTTTAAAAAGTTAAAAAAAAAAAAACAACTTTGTTGCTAAAAAAAATGCCAACCATCATCGGAGCCTCTGTGAGTCATAATCTTTTTGCAATCATCATAT